GCCTCAGTGCAGGCAACAGCATGGCGTGGTCCCCAGCAGCGCACCAAGCAGTGCTTTGGGGTTTTCTGTCGATGACGCAAGAACATTTCCTTTCGCTTTGGGCTCACTTTGTGAGGACACATAGCCCTGCCTCAGCTAGTGAGCTTTAGTTCATTAGGTGGCAGTAATAAGCCAGCCATAACCTTAACATTTGCTTTTGGGTGAAGGAGGAAGCTGCATGCTGCTGACACAAAGTGGATACTCAGCTACCTCATGGACAGTCATGACAGGCACTAGCCATCTGCACTGGCACCTGTATCAGCATCTGTGTGTGTCATTCCCCTGCTCATGAAACACACCCAAGACTTTGCACAGGCCTCACTTGCCCACCTGTAGGGAATTCACCATTTAAAAAGAGTGCCAGAGCCTCATTATACAGTCAGGCCTCTGTATGGACGTCTGGTAGAACTACATACCAAGATGTCTGTGTATTTCCTAATCTAGTTCTAACGTGTTCTCTCCCTGTTTTTTTGTTCCAGGTGAGACCATGAAGCACACCCATCTTCCCTCGCTTCCGATTTTTTTTCTTTTGGTGGCTTGAACCACCATGAGAGACCGCTGCCTTGGGTACGCGGCCAATGAGAACAGAAACTTTAACTTTCAGAAGCACTGGGGAGAAAAAGCCTTAACAAGCCTGCAGTGTCTTTTGAACTGTTTTAATTTCTGGACATTTTTTTAAATACTGGACCAAATTCAACTGAACAACATGAAGAAAAAGACACTATAAGATGTGCATAAAATAGAGTGCTCCAGAACATTGGGTTTTCTTGTTTGATACTTTCAGTTATTTTATTTGTTTCTGTGCAGGTTGGGCTTAAGGTTAAAGTAAGTAAGTAAGTGCAATATTTTTTTAAGGGTTGAATGAAGACCTTTCTTCATGTGTCACTGGTCTGTGCTAATGTCCATAGGAGAGCAGGCATTGTTAGTATCTAATAATACCTCATTAGTGAATAGCAAGGCATGAACATACATGAAGAAATATGGAGATTGTGAAAGAGGGGGACAGGGGTGCTGGGTACCTGGATTGAACTGTTTTCTGCAGCCCTGACATTCTCTGCTTGGGGCCTGGGGAAATGCAAGACCCAAGAAATAGACTGACCTTCGGAAATGCAGACCATGGAGCCTGAAGCTGAAGCAGGCAGCTGAGGAACGGGGTCATTGTGGTTTGTGACAGTGCTGCTAGGAATAAAGCAGATATATTGCTCTTTTCTCCAACCTTTTCAGTAATGCCACTGAGAAGGTTATTTTTTCTTAGATCAATCTAATCCAAGCGCAGCTGAGGTAGCTTTGACTCCATTTCTATAGTATCTAACTGTCTGAGCAATTTATGGTGCCTATACCCCTCATTTGTTTATTATTTTTACTAAGTATCAAACCTGTGTAAAAATGTGAAGCTGATTCAGGTTGGGTTAAAAAAAAAAATGTGCTTTAATGGATGTAACTATTTTTCAGAGCCAGGAATTCACGGTGTTACAAAAATGTTTTCTTTTTTTGGCATGTGAAGGGATATGGTTATTGCTTTATTGCTATGAGGCTGCCAAAGCATCGGGACAGATTCCTGCAGGGATGTCGGGTCAAGGCGATGGGCTCTTTTCCTTTTTGCTGTCAGTTTCAGTTCTAGTCAGAATAATTAGCTATATATATTTTTTTGTCTTTGTATAATTCCAGTACATCATTGTGTATTGTGACATGGATGCTGTCAGAATGGATGTTTGATGGCATTTTGTAGCCTGTTGCTTTTTGTCACCTCATTGGAAGTTAGCAGCAATGGTAACTCAATGTAAACAAAACAAACTTGAACTGAAAGTAAACACACTGGATTGCTTACCTGTGAAGAAGTCACTGTCAGCAAAATAGCAAGTGCACTCACACATACTTTGTATTCACTGCACAGCCAGCGTACCAGAGGTGGTAGCTCAGCCAATTTCAGGAGCCTGATATTCTCCTTTAGATGACAATGGGTTTATTTATTTTTTAAAGTGCTATTCCTTCAGCTGATTAATAAGTGTATATTTCTTTAATATCTACTCCATCTCAGTAATAGTTATAATGGAAAACTTCCTTCAAATTCTCCCACATGAGCAATGCAAAAATGCATAGATAACACAACCCTTAAATAAATCAGGTCCTTTTGAAGAGTACTGAAAGAAACAAGACTCTACCTCTGATTATTAAATGTGAGGTGAAGAAGCGCACACTTCACATTTGACAGTTTCCACTAGGTCCATCCCCAAAGCAGGGCTGCCATGGCTTTAAATAGGAAGCCCGGAAATGGATGCAAATGGGCGGGGAGGCATCTTTAGGGGGTAGGCTGCTGATAAAAAAGCTTCAATAATACCGTTGTTTCTGTTCCTTCACAAGTGCATTTCAGCTGGAGGGCCTGCCACGTAACTGGGAATGGCCATGATTTGCTGACCTAATTTGAACAGAAGCAAGAATGATGAAAGAGCACTTGACAGTCCAGACTGTGCCTTTTTGTTGGTTTATATTTCACAGTGTCACCACTGCTTATTTAGAAAACATGTTCACACCCCTCTAGAGAACTTCTAGCAGGTATAAAAAAGAACAAATCCACAAAGGTACAAATGTTCTTGCTTTCTCATCGACTGCCCTCTGTGCCTTGCCCACTGATTCTACGTTTATTCTGTATCATAGCCCAGAGTATCCAGGTTACTTTTAAAACACTGATATGCACACAAACAATTACAGTGCAAGCTGGCTTTAACTGAGTCTTGGCTGACCACAACAAAGTACAAGGTAGCTTGCCAACATCACACTGTTGCTAACTATACTATCTGAATAGCCTGAATTTTGAATGCTTGTCAAAAAGTATGCCACTTACATGTTAGCAGATTGTGTATGGGAACTGTTGAGTCATGGCCTGAACCACTGATTGAGCGCCTGGGGAAAAGACCCAGTCAGCCCTGGGAAGGTGAAAGCAATTCACCTGTGTGACCAGAAGGGGTGGAGCCTGGCTGCACCTCTCTTAAACCTCATTTAAGGGCTGTCTGCCACTGCAGAAGGATCTCTGGTTGGAGATCCCTCCCTTGTGGCATGAGCACTTTTCCTTTGTAACATCTTCCTATTGCGCTGATCCACTTGCCATTACACCTCTTACATCACCATTCCACCATGCTGATCTTTCTGAGTGTTACAGGTTGCAACTTCACAAAGTCAATTGTTATTAAGATCAAACAAACAAAAACCCCCTTCTTCAGACAAAATATCTTTTCCTAACTGATATATTGTGCAAACCTGCATAAGTGTGTGTGTTGGGATGGAAGTACTACTTCTCCTGGCCTTCAACAGCACCTCTAAAGCAATAGGAGTGTCTGAGAGACAGTATGGCTCAAAAGAAGTATGCAGAGCCTTCAGCATGAATCAACATTCTCTACAGCCAGCTTTACCTTTTCATGGAAGCAATCTAACTAAAGAAGTGGACAGAAGTGACTGCTGTTACACCGTGTGTGCAAAGAAAGCATAAAACTGCTGAGTAAGCATGGGATGACAAAACTCCTCCACACCATTATACACTTTTCACGCAGTGTATCTCTCTAAAACATTATTGTTTAAAAAAAAAAATCACAGCACACTGCTCAAAGCCTCGAGAAGACATTTGGAATGAAATGTTGCATTTGACAATTTCATTTTCCTCTAAGACATGGAGAATTTTGAAGAAAAATATTTATTTTCGTTTTCCTAACCCTAAATCAAACCTCCTTTTACTTTCTCATAACTGCCACCAGGCTGTAAACTCAAAAACTGTGCAGTGGAGGTATGAAGCTCTCTGGAGTGCCTTAAACCATTAAGAAAATTCCAGGAAAAAGGGAAATATCTGCTTAAACATCACTTAAATTTCACAGATTGTTACATAGAAGTCATACAGTCTAATCCAGCAATATTGAAGTGTAAAATTCAGCTTCAAGCTTTACTGGCTTGGTTAATCGTTAGCAGTTAGTTTAAAAAATAATTTAAAAAATGCAGAAAAAAAACCAAAATCAAGGGAAACAAAACATACAGATTATTCTGCTTACACAGAAGGGTCTTCCTGTTTTCCTCCCAGGTGTCTCCAAAGATCTCTGAGAATACTGACAGCATTCAGATTAAAAATAATTACCAACTACAAAAACAGCTGAGAAGCCACCTCTTTTCTTTCAGAGAAGGTATATGGGGCTTCTTCTAACACTTCTGTGTACCAAACTACATAAAGTCTAAGGTGGTGGCTTCTTCTGAGCAAAAGCAAATCTGTATGTTCAATGCAAGAAAAAAGTTACAGTGAGTATGAGAACTGGCTTTGTATTTTGGTACCTAACAGGAAAAGAGAGGTGCACGAAGCCATCACTATAGCTTTTATGATATCAGACGTACTTTCCACGTGAAAAGAGTGACTTTAATTTTTATGTCCAGGTTTCAAAGATATTTTTAAGTTTCTTACTCCTGTACTTACAAGCAGTATCTATGCAAGAACAGTCTGAGGCTTTATGTAGTTAGTCATTCATCACGCAGTGAAGGGGACTGCTGTACAGCAAACACATCGGGCTGGACAGATATGGATGCATACAAGTGAGGGGGCAGGAAAGAAAATTTAAAATATGGCTTAGAGAGTAGTTCAAATCTTGGGAGGACCAGACATGACTTTTAATGACAAGTTGGGCAGTGAGACAGTCAACTTTCTCCCGTAAAGTTGTGCGTATAGGTTGAATGGATGCAGTCTTCATGAATGTGTTCTGGTTCAAATGTCTCCATTAGGGATCATGTGATAGGGGAGTCACATTTCTTTCAGAGGGTAAGACAGAAATCCTCTTCTTGGCAACTGCTGTTGTATTTGGAGCCTTAAGTTTGGGACTCTTCACTTTCAGAACCACTTCTGACTAAGACCACATTTAAATGACAGGTGTCATATGTGTTTTTAACCAGACTAAATATATACACTGACACATAACCAACACTCAGAAATAGTATTTGTAAGGACATTTACAATAAATGGCACTAAACACCTTTATTAAGATTTTAATTTCTTTTATGAAAAAAAATGAACAGGATTCTTTTTTTTTTTTTTTTTTCTCCTTGTACACAGAGGAAAAGCAAACTAATGGCAAAAATCAAGAACACTTTCTTATTTCAATACCATCTTTGTAGCCACAAAGATACAACTATTTAACAGACAAGAAATACTGTTTATTGCAGACTTTAAGCTGATTCATGTGGAAAAGGCACTATGAAACTTAATCAAACTAGATGATTAAATTTTTCTAAATTAAGTGATATTATATATTATATATAATACATATATTATATATAAAATCACAACACCATTTGAAGTAACAGAACATTTTTGTGACAAAAATCATCGCATCTTCAAAAATAATATTTACTGGAAGGGTCGCTTCCTTTTCTCTCCCTTTTGACTCCAGGAATCCAATTTTCCAAAAGATTACATTCATAAAGGAACAACAGCTTTTTACATATGGAAAAACTGACGTCTGGGATCAACAAGCAAAGTCTAGATTATACACTGTTCCTCCGACAGGTTAAGTTACAAACAAAAAAGGCAAGTGTATTAAAAAAAATAATGAGAATTGTTTCATGGCTACCTACAGCAGATCTGATCCCCTCTTTCAGCTGAGTTGTGTTACTACTTTCTATTAATTCCTTCTTGTGCAATATTATTGTTCATCACAAGTGAAGTATTGATAAAATCAAAGTACAGAGTATTATTTTGGTATAAACAGCGTCATTAGTAATAAAATACCTTGGGAGCAATGCAAGAAAGATTCAGTCTATGCTGGGCTGCTGTTCATACCCTAAACATTACCTCTTTAATTGCTGACATCAACTAAACATCCTGCAGCTGAATGCACTGTAAGAAAGACATAGTTGCAAACTACAGCTGGCGATGGAATTCAGAACTATATTATTACTAAAGAGTTCAAATGCTTTTTATTGCTGGCTCAAGTCTCCTAGGATGGATCAAAAATAAAAATACATTCCAGTTTACCTGTCACTGAAATGTTAATTCCATAAAGCCAAGGCTTGTCTTGGGTATAAGTGACTCTAGTGCCAATAGTTTCACCTGTCAGTAACTTACACTGGATTTCTCATTTTCATTTTTAATGATAGGAAGCCAGCAGCAAGTACTTCTGCAGATACTACTGTAAGTTTTCTTTATGTTGGCTAGTTATGTATTTTTACAGAGTAATAAGACATTCCCCTTCACTAAAGCAAAGCTGGACTGTATAATGCTATGGTCAGTGGAACTAAAGAAAAGAGGAAAGACTTTTAGTGGCTGCTTCCTTCATCAAAAGACTCCACACCTGAATCTGATGCAGCTGCACTGATTTTTTCTTGTCGTCTTCTCATAATTTCTTGCAGTTCTGAACTGCCACTGTTAGCCTGCAAAGAAAGAAAAAAGAAGAACTCTTAATCTGTGATTTTGACAAAAGATGAAGTTCTACTGACAGCATTTTATTAAAATAGATGTTTGAGCAAGTTAAACATATCTTGCAGCTCCGCCACTAAAAATGCACTAAGAATCTGGTTATGTGACATTCGGAAAACAGAAGCATTTACGCTATTCCTAAACGTACACCAGAAAAGAGACTATAAACTGTTAACCAGCTTGATTTTTAACACTGCTGGGTACCGTTACCTCTCATGTAAGACCCCATTAGCATTGGATACTCATGGAATGAAACACGGCCTAAATACAGAATTAAAGTCCACTGAATTTGCTAGGATTTCACCCGAGTACTTAAAAATCATGGCAATCGTATTTAGAAATTAAAGCACAAAAAACCTTGGGCTTCTAGATCTATGTCACCACTAAATTTATGCATGCCCATGGATTTGCACAGCCAAGGCCTTAGTAAGGATTTGGATTACTAATCTTAGTATTCTACATCACACCGTGTGACATCAAGCATTTGCTGATCAAAGATGCAGTACTAAAACCCAGAGCACAGTAATAAGAATTGAATCCTATTAATGTATCCATGTTGCCCGAGAACAACATTCTGAGGACAAGGCTTAATTTTACAGTGAGGGTGAAAGAACAGTTCTGAAGAGCTAGGGCAAAAAGATTTCTTTGAAAACATAAATTAAGCTATTAACAAGGCCAGGATGCACATACAATAGAGCATAACATTACAAAGCACACAACTTTGAATAAAGCTAAGAGAGTATGAAACAAGATCTATAACACTGCTGTGTTACTTGCCTGGAGCACGACCTTCTAAGCTTAAACTCTAGCTTCCCAAATATCCCCTCACTAGAGAAGCAGAAATTGTTTTTGAAACTTGTGAAATAAATTTCTGGACTGTTATTGGGAAAACATCCTTCAACTGATTCTTCAATTTTCTCTTAGAATTTATCTGATGACAGGAAATTTAATTTAGATTTGTCCCATTAGGTTTATTACAGTGCATTATCTGATGCCATGACCTGGCAGACAGGTTGGGCATCTGAAGAGAGAGAGGGACTTATCCTAGCTAAAGTACCATTGTTCTCTCTCCTGCTCCCTGAGTGAGAGTAGAAAGCAGGGGGCACATAACTAACTCCCTGAAGGTGATAGACCACCTCGATTTGTCTTCATTCATCTTATCCTTGCCCACTTCCAGATACAGAGCAAGAACAGTAGCGGCACTTTACTGAAGTAATGCATAAAAAACATTAGCAAGTACCTGACAGCTTGCTTTATCAAAGGTCACATAGAATTCTTTTTTTCTGCAAAGAACTGAGCTGCCATGGCTGCAACAGTTTATCTTCCTGATAACATCAGTAAAAACCTGACTGATGGGCTTGAAAAGCAACTGCAATACAACACACGCCTCAACACAACAGGCACATCCTGCTGACACAGGGCACAGCATAGCTCAGCAGCCCAGGGCTGTTTTGGGGAACACAATTCTTTGAACGGACTGTTAGACCTCAGCTCTGCTGATTTACTCAGCTTAGTCTCTAACCAAATCATGAGGTATCAGTAAGCCAGTAAATTTTACATTCTTTAGACTCAGACTGCTGAAATCAGAATCAACAAAAGCAATGATAGAACCGTGAAACGGCCTGAGTTGGAAGACATCTCAAAGATCATGTCATTCCAACCCCCTGCCATGGGGCACGGTTGCCAACCACTAAATCAGGCACTAGACAAGGCTGCCCAAAGCTCCATCCAACATAGCCTTGAACAACTCCACGGAGGGGGGGGGCATCCACAGCCTCTCTGGGCAACCTGCTCCAGCACCTTACCACTCTCTCAGTGAAAAGCCCCATTGGTCCATCACATTTCTATGTCTGCATTGTTCCTTGCAACCAGGTGCCTCAGAAAACAAGCAATTTGATGCAAGGACTAGATAAAAACTGAAATGTGTTTCATGTGTTCCCATGCTTCCCATAGATGGAGTAGGAAGACAACAGGAATGTGGACTTGAAGTTTTCCCACCACAGAGATGACAAAGCCAATGTTCAGGATATTTTATCTCTACGCTTATCTTCTGATTAATGTTCTTCATGCCCAGAGCTCCACAATATTTGAAGAAATGCACACACAAGATCTAATGATCACTGCAACTATTAACATTTTCAATTTGCAGAGAAAAAGTTAATCCACACAGCAGAGTGGCCGCCAATTGGGTAAAATGCTCTGTAGTTTGCATACAAGGTGAACTTCAACATTATGATTCTGTGATTCTGTGATTATGGAGCAATCCTGAACAAAAGCTCCTTTGAAGGCAATCCCAATCAGTACAAGGTGTATGGAACATCACAGTCTGCCTCCTCCTGAGATGATGCTACCTGCAACCACCATCTTCTTGGACAGAAACGGTGTTTGGCACTGGCTATGTCCAGCTGTTTTGCTCTCTGACACACTGATCTCATGCAGAGTTTTCTTTCTGGTTTTGCTTGGCCAGACTTAGAAAGCTGCCAAACCCCAAACATCTCCACTACATTCATGGTCTGCTCCTTTGTCATGTTTATACTGGGGCCACAAAACTCTGAGAGGAGTCTTGCTGCCTTTGATGTTTTAAAGTGGTTTGGATTCAGGTTTAAATGGAGTCCTCATAAAGATAACATGACTAAATTCCAATAACAATTGGAATTGGAACTCCAATTTCAGAATACTCAATTCCTCCACCTAAGGCTGAAGGACTTAAAAAAACAAACAAAAAATTCAGCTGCATACAGGTAAGGGTCTGGTTTTCAGTATCAGGGAATGCAGGCCCAAATTTGAGAGACGGGGCTTTCATTGACCTGCAGAAACTGTACGAATCAAGGAGCACTCATGGAAATTCCTGGCTACAAATAACAAGCATAGATGAGGCAGGGAGTTCTGTAATGGTAGACAGCATATGGGTTTCTTTTCTTTTGGCCATTATTGTTATTTAAGCATAGCACACAGGACATTTACAGAAATATGATACCAAAGTACTAGGGAAAGAATGCCAGAGCTACAGAACTTCATGAGAAGTTGTCACTGATTAATTGTGTAGGACAATTACTGTGGTCAAGGCCATAACCATACTTACAAAAAGCATTCTGTTTTTCTTTGCTGTATAATAGGTCTGACACTGGTATGAAAGGTACATGTGCACTTAAATGCTTCTGTAATTGGAAATGATTCTAGTTTGACCAGTAAAACATAACCTTGCTTGGAGGACATGAGCCCATGTTTCCTGAGTCACTGTTAGACTTTTTGGGACTTATTCATCATGCACATTCCTATAGATTATCTTAAACAGAGATGGACAGCTTTTCTAAGAATTGCAATATGAAATTCAGATATTACAAATGATATGATACATGAAATACAAAATATGGACAGAAAGGAAGATGTGCCTTTGTGTTCCAGACAACACAGCAAACACGCTGTAACAAAAAATTTCTTTAGTTCTGAAAATCATCGGTTAAACCTCAAATAATTTAGGTAGAAATAAATATTTGCGTTACCTTTTCACTAACAAAATCCAACAACCTTGCTAAATTCTCAGGACCCACTTATTAACACTGGGGCAAGTTTTTACTGCTAAGTTTCCTGCAGAGTAAAGCCTAACTGAGGTAAGCAGAAAAACATCATAGAGAGGGAAAGGCCAGACCTCTACAATCCCATGCATCTGTGGTTTTCAGCCTAACTTCTGCCACAGTATCAAGGAGTGCTTTTCAAGATTTGGAGGCAGAACCCCACAAACAAGTCTAACACAATCATGAAGTTAGCTTTACACTCTACAGGATGCCACCCAGTCCTTTGGCAGGACAGACAGCTCTTTACAAGAAATGTTTTCTTCCAGGTGCAGTGTCAAACTCTCACCTCCTGGATCTCCACCATCAAGACTACATCTCTGAGATGTTTACATTACTCCTCTGATCACATTCTGAAGCATATTGGTCAGAAACTGTGTATTTAAGAAAAAGAAAAAAAAAAATAACCCTACTTAAATTTCTAAACAATAACATTTATTGATAGTGATATGGAAGTAAATTTGACTGTTGTAACAGTTTAGACTGCTATAATAATTTTTTTCTTTTTTGTACTTTCATACATGGGGACTTTCTTCATGAAACTTAAGACTGTAGACATTTGAGAGAAGCTGAAGTATATACATGCCTACTCAATAGGAAATAATGGATTGCATTGGACTTAGCAACATATTCCTAACATGAAATTAAGACTTGAAGCAATTTTGATAGTGTTAATAGCTATGCACTCTGGTCCACACTGATCAGGTAAATTGTAAAATATGCATCATCTTAAACTTCTCTTTTAAAATAGATCTGGCAGTTGAAGTTCAAATTCTTTAAGGAAATTTCTTTAAGGAAAGCTGGAAAGTAGTTCCAGCTTTCTGATGAGAGAAATAAATATATATACATATTAATTTTCCTTTAAACAGGATTTGAAGACTGAAGCTTCTCTGTGGACTAGTCTCATCTCTAGACATTATCTAGCCTGTTTTTCTACTTCCTGCATCAAGTTAAAAAGAAAAAAATAAAATAAAAAATGTAGCTGTTTCCTGGTTTTAAAGGAACAATACCAGTGTAATGAGCAATGAGCATGGAAGTACTGTACATATTTCCATGGCTCGGTAATTCTGCTAGCACGCTGTTGAGCATGTTTTGTTACACTTAGGATCCACCAACGAAGATGCACTTAAGCTTAAGTACCACCGTGTACTTCTAATGCTTTGTGGGCCCCTTTAGAAGTGTGGAGACATCCCACCCAATGTTTTGAGGAATGCTGCTCAATGCACTAATACCAAATAACCCAGGTACAAATTATGCATATCAACATGATGAGAACTGAGGAAAAAAAAACATATCTTGCAGAAAGAGCTCTTTACTTCCACACATTCAAAAATGATGACTTGAATCATATATCCTAGATATCAGTGAGCCAGCATTAGAGTAGTAGGAAGGGTTATACATACCTCCAAAGCAGACTTCTGTACCGTAATTTGGCTGTAGACTCTAGACCCTTCTGGGCAAACAGTCCTCAGTTCCTCTTTATTGAGGGAGAAAAGCTGAGCTCCAGTCAGCACACCAAGGCTGTTCACAGTCCTGGGGTCACAAGGAACAAGCAAGAAATAAATAAGAAATTGCTGGCCAGAGAAGAAGAAGAAGTCTCCATCTACCATCACCTCAAGTAGAGTTACCAAATCAAGATAAAACTGCAAGCAACAGGACAACTGAAGTTAATTCATACATGTCATAGCCAGTACCTTTTGGTGGAGGCTAATGTGCACACATTTTTTTCAGATATATGTCTCTCTATAAATAACTATGAGGTAGAAATAGGCATATTTGCTAAAACATTATTTTTTTCCAAGAGTATCTTGCTCTTCTGAAAGCTTCTCGATTTTAAAAAGCAGTCAGACCATACCCAACTAACTGTAAGGAGAATTCTTCTAATAACTCTCAGATTTGTCCTCAAACTTACACAGGGTTGAATCCTTTGGACTGCAGCCATGCTTTCACATCCTCAGGCGAGGAGTCGTATGTGATGTTCACTACTGGGATGTTTGGCCGTGGCACATGGAACTTCCTCTGGGCATTGCTGCGGCCAATGGTGAGCCGGTGAACGAGTTCATCCTGCACCTCTTCCATCTGAGATTTCCTGCCTGGAGAGAGAGGTGCCCCACAGGAGTTACTCTCAAGAGTGCTTTATCAAAGCAAGGTTATTTCCTACACTCTAATTTAAATCTTATACTTTCTTTTTCTTTTTTTTTTTTCTTGAAAGATCTATTCATTAGCTCTGGCTGAGTTATTACTCACCTTGTTTCCCAGGGAAGACTTCAATATTCCCACTCCTGCCTTTACCAATCAAAACATAATAAATACATACATTCAACTGAGACCCCAGAAAGAAGAGAGAAACTTGGTGTTGCAGAAGCAGATAGAGCAGTTTAGCACTCAAGCTGGAAAATGGCAAAGATGGCTGGACTGTTCAACTGCCATAGTTTGAATTTCTTCCAACATAAATTTAATAATGTTTTAAAAACGAAAATAAAAATACGAGGAAGAAAATAAAAGATTGTTTCCACTCTGGAAAGTCATCACAACTTCTTAGCACAAAGCAAGATGAGACAAAAAAAAATTTATCATTGCTGAGACATACTGCCTTAAGCCTAATACTTTACTATAGTAATCCAATTTTTAAAGGATTTTAAGAGAAGACCACAAAAAATAACTCGAATTCACTCCGAGCCTCAGTAATGTAGTGGTAGTTGATGGAAACAAAGCCATTCTTAGCTTTAAAAAGAATAAATAATGAATTAGTTTACTACACTAGAGATACTGAAACTGGGGTAAGACTATTTTTTTCATTGAAATCAAACTGTGTAAATTTACACAGAACCCTTTTGCCTGAAGTATTTAGTTTCATTGTTGGTCAGTAGCATACAACAAACCAGAATGCCAAATATATTTTTCAATGCAGAAAAAATGATCTAAGGAAATTTTCACAAAAATAGGTAGAATCTGAAATAGTGTAAGCATCTTCAGAGACAGAGAATGTACTGATTCTACACAATCTCATCATACATTAACTCTGGTATTACTGCAGAAAGACCTGACGTCAACTTTTAAATGATCTAGAAAAATCTCCATTTCCTTAACAAGGTATTTTCAGTTGTTACTATTCCACATTCTCAGTTTGATTCACAATGACTACATTAACTTTTTTTGCTGCACAAAGAGTAACTACATTAACTTTTCTGATGCATTCGGATGGCAAAAGTTTTCTTTTCTTCCCATTACACTTGATGGCAACAGGGGAAAATGATACAGCTCTACATGGAAAAACAATAAGAATGCAAAAATGTTTCAATCTCTCATTTCATTGTATATTTTCACAAGAATCCTCCAGGGACTCATCCCTCTTGCCAGTCACATGAATAAAAACAATGTGGTTTTGTTTTTTTTTTTTCTAATCACAAGTTAGATTACAAAAGAAAAATCCATGTTTTAACTATTTTCTTCTTTTATAAAATAGCCCTAGGCCCCAACCTGAAAGTGGACAAAGTATCTCCAGCAAAATATCTGAAGCATGCAGACCCTATCTGTATTTTTGTTTTCCAAAGTATGAATTGGAAGCCAAAATGACATGCTCAGTGATACACAAATAAAGACTTTGGACAATGTTATTGTAGTATGCACCAGTTACTCTCCCAGACAGGAAGAGTGCAAGAAAATTGCTATTGTGTCTCTATTTACACGGATTTTGGAAGACTTAGGTTTTATCTCTACCAGGACTGTATCAGAAGACAAATATTTAGCTGTTAGATAACAAATTCTTGCTATTGTTAGATGCATTATCACAAACAAACAAAATGCACTCAGTAGAGGTGGCTGCTACAGTGCACATTCCCTGCAACTGATTGGGAAGGGCTGTCGGCTGTCCACAACTGTTGTAGGGGCAGGAATTTTCTGGGGATCTAGGCACCTGACGTTCAATGGGCTTGAGTTTAAACCCCTGGTGATGTTACAGACATCAAGCAAGGCTTTGGCTTGAGTGGAACCTAAGGGGTGGCAGATGATGCCTTGCAAGCACTTGGTCTACAGCAACCCTTCACAGCCCATGCCTAAAGCCAGAGTGACCTTCAAATTTATTATCTGTAGCAGACAGAGAGAGTCATCATGGATTTAAGGAAATGCACATCTGCTGCAGCATGTGAAGAACATCTCAAATGGAGCTAACAAGATCAATTATTTGGGGGGAAGTTCACTGTCAAACTCCATATCTTTTGAACAAAATTCCTCAGGTTTGTGTTTTCATCTAGGAGGCAAAACAAAGGCAGAGGCTGGACCTAGTTTATCCGTGAAGCAGCAGTGAGGTGTGTTCCTCCCAAGAGGCTCTTTTAATTACCAGCTAGACTGTCATGTGAGAAAGCTGAAAAGAATCTCAGAGTTTTCCTGAGTTCAGAGTCTAAGAGAGAGCTGGTGTACCACCAGGCAACGCCACAGCAGGCTGAGTGTATGCAAGCAGGGATGCTTCCCATCTGCTGGGAGTGCAGGGAAAGGGAACCTCTGCAGAAAGGACTACTCTTGGTTTCAGTTTTCATCTCAGGTGGAAATCAGATCTTCTGATAAGGAAGGGGATTGGAAAAGCTGTCAACTCATGAAAAGCAAAAAACCTCATTATTTTAAGAACTACTGGTTTAGAAGCAGTAGCAAGTGCTTGCCAACAAGTTTCTGTTATTTTGAGCTAGGCGATTTCATTACTTCAAGTATACTGAAGACAGATATTGTTGATTAGGAAAATTATGTCAACCTAACAGCTTTTCAGTTGATTCAGAGTGGGAACCTCAGCAGAAGCCGTGGTTCATAATTACAAGCAAACCTTAAGCAGAACATTTCATGACTGCTACACACTGCTTGGCTGCAGGTTATCATCAATAGAGCTACGGATTATATCTTCTAATTCTCCTAAGACAAGGACACATAAATTTGCTTAGTGGCCTGCCAGCTGCTCTTACTTTGACCAAGGGTCCTGGCTATAAAGACAAGTTTCCTACACTACCACTAAAATGTGTTTTCTATGTATCAGCCACTGTAAGCCTCCTTGGAAGCCTTGGATTTGTATTTCAGAAAGGTGTAAACGCCCTAGACAATCGTGGAGAGAAGTGTAAAAAGAGCCCAACTGATTTCAAAAGTGATTTAATCAGAATGTAGTAGTGAACTCAGGCAGGCAGAGTACATTACCCCGAATAACAGCATGAGCATTTGCAGCGCTGAAAACCGAGTGAAGATCCTAGATAGTCATAACAGAAGAGAATGTGAGAACATACTACTCCAGGACTGGCACAGGTGCAAGGCTGTTTTTGCTCCTACTTACTTTCACGACTGTATAAAGAACTGTCTATGCATAGAACATGTGTCTTGTAAATATGGGTTTATATCTAAGCATTTCTTAAATATTTATCTGAAACATAAGGCCTTAGGGAATTCGAAGATTAAGCAAAACAGACACACAAAGATGGGAGAGAAACATTCTTTCCTGCTTAGACAAACTTACGGTCCACAGGAACTTGTTTGTGCTTCTGGCTGTCTCGCGCAACACTACCACCGCTGTCACTAGAGGTGCTGCTTTGGCGGCTGACAGTTGCTGGCGCCTTGGGCACGGGAACTGGGATGGGTGCAGGGGTGCTTGGAGGCAGGGGGACAGCTGCAGGAACCGGAGCAGGTATCGGAGGCGGTGAAGGAGTAACAGGAACCGGGTCAGGCTGTTTAGCGACGTAGTCTGTCCTCTGTTTCTGAAAAGATGCAGAGAGACTCAGTTCGACAACAAAGCTTGGACAAGAACTTAGACAAAGCTTCTGGAGAAAATATTGGGCTGTTCTGTACCGCCTGATTTCATTTACTGCTCAAAAAGTTATCCTTGCCAGATACAGTCATAAAATTTGCCCAAATGTGATCTGGTATGGTTTTACTTCTCTTTCAGACATAAAATTCAGAACAATCGCATAATCTCAAATGTGCTTCTTTCTTCCAAGCAGATGATTTCTATAAATAAAATTGTTTTAAAATTCTGAACTTTACTATCTGGCTCTTTTGAAGAGCTTCCAAAATTTTTGAATTGCTGGAGTTTATCAGTATAAAAACATATGTTTTAGAAATGTTCTGTTAGAAAGAGTGAAAAATGAATACATCCAGTCACTCCTAAGCCTAACTAACGGTTTAACTTAGGAACACCACTGAATGTGAGGTAGCACATTGTGTCCTGAACTTCAGACACTGCTTAAGAGATTCCTGCTCCTCCTCCCTATTGAGTTGTGCCATTTCAACTATCTGTATGAGCACTATGCGCGACAATGCGATTAAACACAAACACCTCAGTGCTTTGAATAAGGCTGCTGGCTTTTTTTTTCTTCCCTTCTTTATGAAGTGTTCCAACAGCATGCAAATTATCTTGCTGTTAATAGCTAGCCGGCAGGTGCCTCAAAATTAATTCTGCAGAATAATTCCTCTCCTTCTTTGCGTTTAAAATGGTTGCAGCAAAAGGCGTGCATTTTCCCAGTGACAGACAAGCCCAGAAGGTCATAAGCAACCTATGCTAGCCTTTTGTTTCCAACAGTTCAAATTCCACATCTCACTGTTTTAACACTGATCCCCCTCTACAGTTTTGGACTGACAAAGCTTGAAGTTTTAATATTAAAGTTTGTTTGCTCAGCCCTGATGCTTCATTTTTAAGTTATGAGAAGTCTGCTTTCTTTGGTATGAAAATAGAGGAGTACATTCCCCAGGCTCCTTGCTCCTTCCTGAAATGCCATTCACTAATTCCTTGGAGGCAGAGGGTTTATGGCAGATCAAGTGGGGAAATATTTGTAGGAGCCATATGTTAGAAACTGTACAGCACATTACTGCCCTGAAAACAAGCAGAACTTCATTATATGTCAACCACTGCCATCATACTGGAATCCCCAGAATGGTACACATCTAACCCATGGGAGTGACACTTTGTAGTGAACATGAGCTGGGATTATTATAGCTAAGCAATGCAGAGTTACACCAGTCCAAAATTTATCCAGTCAGGTTCCATTAAGCCTAAGGAAAAAAAATGTATTTTGCCTTCTCTTGATCGTTTTTTTCACTTGAATTGCAGCAGTTAGCAACTGAAGCAAACATACTGTCCTACAATAAAACTTTGTCATTAAACCTTTCTTGTTTCAGTTTTTAGCATTTAAGTGATTTAGAGGCATTCATATGGATCATTTTGTATTCATTTTCTGCAGTATATTGTGGAGAAATTAATATAAAAATAAGAATCATGACTGAGTTTTCTGTATTCCAGTACTTTGATGTAAAGACACAAAACATTTTCTGAAATGTCAAATGCCAAAAAAGTAAAACGTGGAATATAAAATAGAACAAGCAGTATCACGTGTACTTAATAATTCTGTCTTTTGGTGGAAACAGTGCCTTAGTAGGTATTTAGTAAGCATTCCATAATTTATTAAATATAGATGTACTACAACATACCCAAAATTATCTTAATGAATTTAAGAATTTCACTGATAATAAAATATATTAATACAATATATAGAAAAGTTTGTGGATTGTTCACAAATTCAAATGTCTAGGATTGTTATCCCCACAGTGTACCATCACGTGTGTCCTTGACCTTCCTAAACAACATGCAAAGAAAAAGCATCACCCTTGTCATGGTAGAGAGGATTCATTACAAGCCAAGGCATCAGCTGCATGTCACTGCAATCTCAATCCAGAAGAAGCAACAGCAAAACATTACACACAGCTCTCAACAGATGCTATTAATGTAGCTTCTGAAACATTGTATTGCAATCACAAGTCTCATCAAAATGACTTACTACATGCTGGAGTGAAAATAGAAACCAAACTGGAAGCATCACTCAAATTCTGAATTTAAAGATGAAACTACAGGGAAATACACTTCAAATTTTCTTGAAGACTGCACAATAATTATATACTTGAATCAATTTAACATTGCTATTTTTTCATTTTTTAATGAAATTCTGGATATTCTGAGAACATCCACACATGCATCCCATCATTTCTATTCACTACTACAAACAAAACAAGCATGCTCTACAGAATTTGGTAACTACAGACTCCAAAAGAATAATTTTTTGATGTTCAATATCAGAACAGTAATTCTATTACCTCTGAAAGCTCTCCCAACAATTGCTGTGAGGAAAATGAATAAATCATATCAAAGAGCATTGTTAGTAAGGTAAAAAGTAACTGCCTCACACATCGCTCCTGAAATTTCATACATATTAGCAATTCAAAAGCAAAAGTACATTGAGGCAAATAATCAGTTCTTCTTACTCACTGAACAACTCATATAACGAGTTAGGTTTTTTTGGACAACAAATGGAGTAATGGTTACCTCAATACATGTATGTGACACTATATAAGCAATGAGCTCTTTTCAAAGCACTTATCCAAAGAGACAGAAAATTAGAAATAGATGTTTGAAATAACAACAACAACAAAAAAAGAAGAATCCACAGAACACGTAACTGCAGAATATTAAGAATTAAATCAGAGCGGATATGGTAACAAAAGCTTATGTATTTGAGCTTTGAAGTATTTACTAGTTTATAAAATAAGTTAAAGATTGCTGCTGACACACATGTATCCACTAATTCACTAACAGACATCAGAAAAATCCTGTGTTTTTTTCTTCCTTCCTTGCATTTTGTTTTTCTTTTAGGAATACATTTAGTTCATGTAAATTGGAACAAATCCATTATATTATTTTGAACAACAGTGATGCACACTTATTAATAATCTGGATATACCAGAGAAACTTGCTGGAACTAGAGTATTATTGTTGTTATTATTATTATTAGACAGAAAATGTTTTTATTCAATGGGAGAAAAAATAAGAGGTTCCAAAGCTCTTTTTCAACATGCTACAGACCGTATCTTGTAAAAAAGATCAAGATTCAATGTGATTTGTTCTATTTTTTTTATATAAATTTTTTATGTAGCAGTATCAGCCGTAGTTTTCAATCACTGGTAAAAAAATAAACAAACAAACAACAAAACAAAATAGAACAACAGGGAGCAATGTGTTTTCAAGCACATCTTGATATCAAAAACAGGAAACCTGTGCTCAAGATACAGCAAATACTTAGCATGAAAGAGTCACTGGATACAACCATAAGCAGTGTTATTGTTGGGAAGCACACTCGTTAACACAGCACTTTTTTTCTATTTAGTCTCTTTATAAACATTTTAGTGTCACATTGCAGTTGGCAGGGACACCAGGAGTGGTGCAGAGTGCTCAGCTTTAGATTAGTGTGGTAGTTTGGATGTTTTTTTGAGACCCACACTATGGACCTCTCATTCTGGGGTATGTGCCTTCTTTCCTTTGGCTGTATTTTAAGAGACAAAAAAGGACCAACTGCCTGCACCCAAAAGGGACAATGAAGTATCTAGGACTGAGAGAGCAAATTTCAAGTGAAGTCATGAGTTTCATTCGGAGGACTCAGCTATTACGCAGAGTCAACCATCTGCCTATTGAAATCCCATTATGAGAAATTTATGTTTCTCTGCCAAAATGTGTATTAGAAGACAAAAAGGAGAAATGTGAACAGAATTTACTTAATCAGATTAGTATTAGCAATGCTTAGCCTCCATTTCTTACAAAAATATCTGTGATGGGGAGGCACACTGTGGATTTGCAATTCTCACCATGGATCACGTACTTTTTACAATTATTCAAGTACATTTCTATGTAATAAGTGTCAGCCCATAATTTGGGATTGGATCAACGTCAAATTGGACTGAAAGCTACCTTCCTTTAAAAGCCATCAAAAAGCCTTGATCTGATGGCAACTTTAAAGAGCATTTAATATGAACAAAGTAAAAAAGATACTGGCCCATGATCAAAAATTAGGACATCTCTTTGGCCACGGCAAAATGAACACCTGGCAACTGCATCTCTTCATTATCAAACATGATGTGCAGGAAAGATACCAGTTGGCAAAAGATGAGTATGACTCTATGACACTAACTTGGAGCACAAATACTGTGATTGAGAGAAAACAAATTCCCCAAGAGAGATATTTTCAGTTAGCTGCTAAACAAAGAGACTTGAAAGAGACTTGAGGGGAGACTGCCAACAAACATGGAGGTCGTTTGTCCCAAATGAGGTAGAGAAGTTTTGCTGTTTACATGCAAGAATCAGGGCTCCTGGATAACTACCCACAGAAGTGTGACAGTGTAAGGTTTATTAAAATAAGACTATAGGATTGCATTTGGCTTAACATTTACTCTCTGTTCCTCAGGATTCTACATACGTCACTGAGAAAATAGCTGCCTCGCCTCACAAAGGCTGTCATGAGATTAATTATCACACTCAGCAAGATACACATCCCTATCATAATCACGTTTCTCATATTTCTAAAAAGCATTGAAAATAAATAAAAGGCACAGCAAAAATGAAATATTTATTATTAATTATTAAGTTCACCAGAAAAACTGGTACATAAGGAGAAGTTTGAGTGCTTGGAAAACTTGATGTTCATCTGTAGAGGATGGTAAACTGCACTGCATTAAAATAAAGAGGCAGACTAAATGACCAGCATCAAAGCATCAAAGGAAACTGAGAGCATATAATTAACAGCAGTGGAAGATTAAAAAAAAAACAAACAAACATCAAAATGATCTACTAAATGTACAGAAATTCTGAATTAGATAGTTTTACTAGGGATAAAATGCCAGATAAATATACATATATATATATTTTTTTTTCTAATCAGAAGAAAGACAATGTATTAATACAGCCTCACAAAGATGATGAAATTACTGAGATATTGCTTGCAAAGTTCTTGCAGGTGTCACCTGCACTTTCGTGAAAGCACTGAACTGATCCTATCTGGGATCCAGATCCTGAAAGGGATCGAGAGAAAAATCAGAATCTAATCTGCCACAAGGACTCATGAGTTCCTAGCAGAGGGAACTGAGTGAGAGTAAAACAAACTTTCCAGCTCTAAGAATAATCATGATAATCAGGCAACCAGCTCTCAGAGAAAAGGTATAAAGTATGGAGAATAACAGAAAGAAAAAGTGTTCTTTTGCAATTGAATCCCTAATCCTTCATAATAATATGGGGATCTATTTTGATCAGCAATGGTTTGAAGGCCGTGTCCCTTGTGCACGTCATTCATCCACTGCAGAGTGGAGCAGGCTGCTCACCACAGCTAACACACCACTTGGAAAGCAGCTTTCTGAAAACTGAAGGCACACAGCCTGGCACTAAGAGCCTTCTCATGTCCAGGGTCTTGAGAAGACACTGAAAGCAAGAGCTTCTGTTCACTGCTCTGCCCGCAAGCTCTCCTGTTTGACCTTGGGCCAGGCACTAATCCCTTCAGTGCCTCGTTTCTCTCTAAAATAGCAGTGATGTCTCATAGTACTGTTATGAAAACAAATAGGGTTACGCAAACAGATCCCAAATGAACCATGTATCTATCACAGAGAAAAAGATGAATGAGCACACACAGTACTCTGAAAAGTGTATCATAATCACCGCAAATTTGATAACAACATTACTGACAAGCGTGGTAAAAACTCCCTTTATCCTGTGTAATTCATTATGTTCTTAAATAATTTCACAGCACTTCAAGCTCACATTTGAATATGCTAAAGCTACAACCAAAATAAACAGTAGACCATAGGGAACAACCTGCCAGAAGGGAAGAGCCAAAATTATCTTCAGCGTTGTTCTCTGTCCCTAATTTTCATGGCTTCATGGAAAATGCTTTGTGAAAGTGATTATTTTACTACTTCCCATGTCATGAAATTATTTCAAACAGAAAGCTTCAAAATCTGAAGAGCATTTCAACAAAAATACAGTATGAGAAGCTCTACTCAGTTCTATACTCATTCAGTCTGCTGAATATTTCCTGACAAATTCCAAACACACAGAATTAACATGCACTTAAAGAAAACAAGTCAGCCCTTTAAACTGGGATTTGAAAAGCACTCCAGATACATGCTCACTTCACACAGAGCTAAAAAGACAGATCAGTTTTGAAAGAGCTCACACATCACTGGCAAACAGATAAGGACAGGAAAAACTCAGAAGTGTTCTGACTAAAGCCCACCAATCTCAAGATATGTCAGCCATGATTGTGCCAGAAATAACACAGGACCCGTTTCTCAAGAGACTTTCCATATCTGTGGAAAGACTGGAAACACTGCAAAAGTTGCAGCTTTCAAGATAGCTCTGCACACATCATCTGGCACAGTGGCAACTTCAGCTGGGGCTTTTAGATGAGTACGCAATACAGGCTGCTACACAGCATTTCTTGTTTTTCAGTCACCAGCTGGTGTTTGTAGACAGAAGGAATGAATATTTCATGAAATAAAATTTAATTCAAGTTTTAACAGAAGTTTGGCATCTTCTTGGTCTGAAAGTCTCGCTCAGAGTCAAGTCTGGAATTCCTGTTTAATACAGATCTATTTGCACAGTTTAAAATCACTTGAAAATGGTGGACAATTGCACTGAAGTAAGACCTTTTGGAGAGTGGAGGTGTAGGCAAGGGGAGTGTTGTTTCTTTTCTTTGCTTTAGTTTTTGAATATTTTATCCTCTAATTATTTTCAGAAAATATGAAATAAGAAGAAAAATGTTAATTCCATACCATAACATGAAAGAAAGAAAATCAAAATTAGGTCAGAAGACTAAAGTGCTGATGATGCGCAGGGATAATATTTGAAAATACCTGCTTTGTGAATTTGAAATTAAAAACATCTGCTTTTTGTAATTCTGAAATCACAGTAATTAAATACATTTAGGACAAAGACAGAAACACAAGCAAAGAGAGAAAATAAAAAAGAAAAGCCAGTGTTCACTCTCTTAGAAGGCACAAAGATGACCCTACCTTAAATAATTCAAACTCCTTCTTTGGCATCAACAGCTATCAATGCACAAAGGATATTTGCAATTAAAATAAATGCATAAGCATCCATTAGGATGGAAATTACTACCTCTTAGTAAATAAGCAGGGAAACAACTTACAGGAGAAGATTTTTCTATATCTCTACTTTGCTATATTTCTATTTTGCCACTTCTCTATTTCGCTTTATCTCTCTGTTTTCTTGTTATACTTTATGCAATAAAGAAATGAACTTCAGCCTGTAAAAGAAATATAAACCTTCTGACTTACTGGTAGCCTGTGCAGACATTTTAGCTTTGCTGTGAATCTCTTTCTCTTTACATACTTCAATAAAAAGCTTCTCTGCTATTCAGCAGACCATACCTGGATGGTGCGGGTGTACACAGGTTCTGGCAATCCCAGACCACCTTCATAATTCCTCAGAGGGTCCAGAATGTTGTTTGGCACAAAGCCTGTGTTGCCGCTTTTATTTCGGACCTTCCACCACTGCTTCCTATCATCCAGAATCTGAAATAATTTGTTAAAATAATTACATATATTTTCTGATGATACTTACACAGTGCACCATTTCCAAACAAAATCACAGCCAGGTTCTGTGACTGATGAACAGGCCTTGTGCTGATGTCACCGGGAAACCTCTGTAGGCTTCCTTGATTATCACTGTAACTAATTCTACACGGTAGAAAGGATATGGAAGTAAAATAAACCTGTATAAACTCAGACACATGCAGGACAACACAGCAGAATTAAAGTGAAGTACTTGCACAGAGAGGCCTGTATCTCTACAGCCTACATGCTGCTGACAAAAGGAGAAACTACTAAAAGACCAAGAAAAAGATGATACAAATGTGAAGAAAGTGCACTTATGAGTAAGGAGAAAACTGGGGCAGGACAGATAGCAGAAATCTGGGTTCTGGCTACTTGAGCGTAGTCTCACTAAACACTTTTTTTCTGTTTCTTCTTCCCTTCTACATTTATCTACCTTTCAGGGTACCAATGCTTTCCAGGATTGTACTTCACTCTGCCCCATGCATTGGCATGTAGTGTTTGCCAGAGCCAATTATTTACATAGAACTGAATTATGCTTCAAAAGCTACACTAGAGAAGACAGAAGAAACACACAATTATATTTACAGCACTGGTCTCTAGAGAAATGAGTCATAACTATCATAAATTCCTGTTTTCTTTTTGCAAAAATGTTACCTCTACAACCTCTTCTTTCAGGACAGAAAGCTCACTGTTGTTTCTTGCCATAAATTCATACTTGCATTTGGCATATTTCTTGGACTGTGTTTTATTGTGTGCTTCATAGTTTCTGCAATGCAAAGATCAGACATTCAGAGAGATATTCAAGCAAGTAAAACCACAGACAACCAGCTGCAAAACATTTAAACAAAGAAAAGGAGATGGCCTGTTGCTGTTACAGAACTCTCTCTTCAAATTATATTGACTAAATATTCATAAAACAAAAAAATAAAGAGAGAAAAAAAAGTGTTTGAGTTGCATGAACCTCTAGAATCAATAACCTTTTTGGCCCACTTCTTGCAATATGTATGATGCCGAATCAGATTTGCAACTGACATTAAGATAAATATGCACGCTACATCTAGTCTGTTTTCCTATACAGAACAACAGAAGATTAAATGATCATTTGTCATACTAATGAATGGATATACTTGGTATCTCGTGCTTTGCACAAAATTGTATTGCTAGCATTTATTACAAATAAAGCTTCAAGTCACAATGGACATTGACACCAATGGAACTAAATCCTACTTAAAAAACGCTTTCCTCTGTTGGCCATTTCTCTTAATTGTCCATAAGATATCATTACAACTAAGAACCTCAAATTATTGCATCAATTATAAACGTAGAATTACTTCTGGGCAGGTAAGAACAGAGTTCATTGTAGAATTAAGCATACCACAGTATACCTCCGCAGCTCTGTTTTCTTTGAGGAAAGGTCTGTTCAGATAGCATTTGGGTAACAAGTTACTAGTTTCTTTAATGCACCACCTCTTCAAATTGAGAAATCCCCCAAGCCCCTCAAACCACATCCAAAAGAAACAGTAACATTATTCACCTGTTGCAAATGACAACCCAACAACCCAAATCTATATCAAGCAGTAAAGTTAAATAAATAAAAATAAAATTAAAAAAGCAACAACACAACACTTAAAATGTTGCACAAACAAGGGCTTGCCATACAACATCACAGCATAGGGATGCAAATGCTGATGGTTGCTGATGTTTGTGCTGTGTAACCACGGATCCCAGGTGTGTATCTCAGCAATCCAGTAGTTACCTAGCTACTGCATGGCTGTGGAGAACTGTCTCACTTGACTTGAAGAACAGAACAAAGGAACAGTCATATTTAGATTGAAAACGTATTATTTGGAAAGAAAGATAAAACACTTAAAGACTTTGAGCACTTAAAGAAGAGAATGAAAAACATGGGATGAACCACAGCCTGCAGAATACCTGCTACAAGGTTTAGAGACGTGAGTAATCCCAATTTTTTCAGCCACCCACTCAAAATTTATACAATTTTGAAGTGCTGTGACTAAAACACCTCTGAGAGTAGTTTTACTTTTAGACTGCCTTTCCAAACTCAGTTTACTAACTCTGTCTTCCTAACTTGTCCACAGCTATCTAACCTGATCCCTCCATACAACATAACTCAGAAGAATTAAAAACAAAAAAATCAAGAGCAGCATCCCCAGCACACTGGCTGGACAATGGTTGTACACTTATGAAGAGACCACAACTTTTCAAACCTAACTTAATGAGCCAAGCAGTTTACTTGGGCACAGATATCCCCATCAAGTCTGCATGAGAAGCTGATGGATTGCATGGGGTCCCCGCGTGTTAGTCCCCAAACAACAGCACAAAAACAAACAACATGGCATACAAATTTGAAACATGATATAACTTACTGAAAAAAGTTTAGTACTCTTCTAGCATCGAACAGAGCCCCTGCTATTGCTGGTAACATGCTTGAAGTTTAAGATACTGACACAGTCTAAGTCATCCAAAAAAAGCATGCCTTACTGGAGGTCCTGGCACCTTGGAATAAGACTCAATGAAGGTCCCCGTGGTTACAAGTTCCTTGGACAATGCATAACCTACCTGTCCCTCTGCAGACATTGGGTGGCTCAGTCACTGTCTTCAGACTGCTCATAAGGAAAGCCAGCTTTCAACAAGCACCAGAAAATGATGGCTGAAATACTCAGCTTCTATTTCTCACTCCTTCCCCAAAACCCACTTCTGCACCTGCTTATTCACAGGTGTTTTAAAATTTATCTTCAAATGGAATTTACCTAGGGTAATGCATATGAATAGCTTTCATTCAGTAACAAATTCCTACTGGGCACATGTTATGTGTCTCGAGAGCCAATTAATAAAAGGAAGTTCACGTTGGGCTGGACAGGGACGTAGTGGCTCACTGTACATGTCTGCATCAATGTCAGCCATCTAGACTCCCTTCTACCGTCAGTTGTGAGAAACAGGTACCTCCACAGCATGTCTCATTTCACATCTTTCAAAAGACTGACTTCACCTGACATGAACTGCTTCACCTGACACGAAATGCTCTTTTCTCTTTACTTGCTACTAAAGAAGCCTGGATGACTCATTCAGCTGTGGCCACATACACTGATACCATCAGTAGGGTAATGCAATAGTCCCATTCTCTAAACCTGAAAAAGAGGTAGCAGCCTTTGCAAAGAATAATTTTACTCTGAAAAGACAAAACAGGTCTTATCACATTACAGATAAAAGAGAAAGGAATTTTGAGAGCAGATCATTTAGATTTCAAGCTGAGAACTCCAGAAGTAACCAAGTTTGAGAAAATGATTAGAGATGACTACTTGGCTGTTGTTCAGAGTTCAGGATGTTCAGGAAAACAATGTTCAGGAAAACAATGGAGTCTTCACCCTGCACACCATGTGAGAATTTGTTTGCATGCAGATTAACAACAGGATCTTCTAGCAAACAGCTCAAAATTAGAGGTTATGCAAAGGTTTGTGTCAACAGTCACACTGATGCTGTTTTTACCAGCAACATGACACCCAAAACATAGCTTAAGCACCTTCTGTGGGAAATAAGTTAAACTACTGTTCATATAAGGATATATAACAAACATAATTTGGCATAGAGGATAAATCCCAACACAACTTTACTTTCACAAATCGTACTGGCAGAAATTTTCCACACAGACAGGGCTGAGACTCCAAGGATCAGTGAGTTTCACCATTAAGGTAATCAGACTTAGGCTAAAATGAAGGGGATGAAAGCATGTGTGCAGAAAGATCCTGGTTGCTATGCAAACATTTCAGAGCTTTGATCGTAGCAATGAAAGAAAAAATTAGTCAGTAGACATGGGCACTTATGCACTGGCCCAGAACACCCAAAGCAGGATGCTAAACGGGCAGCAAGTGAGCAGCTCAACAAATCAAAATTCATTCAGAACACAGACAGATAAATCTCAGAGTGGACTTGTCATTCCTTGAGGTTCAAAAAAAAAAAAAAAAAAGCAAAGAATAGTTTTAAAAAAGTGAAACAAAAGCAGAAATAAAATTTAAATCCTCCACCAGGAGGATTTTGTGTCCTTAATCAAGCTAGAATTCCATCATATCATTTTTGACAAAAGCATGAATTTCACAGCATACATAAACACAGTAGTTTCATAGAAATGATACTGAAAGAGCCACGTGGATGTGCCTTGGAGAAGCACAGGCAGACACCTGCTGCAGTCAGAGCAGCGGCCTTACAGAAATATGGGTCTGCTCCTGGCACAACCTGAGGCCAACAGAAACACCATCACCCCAAAAGCTACAAGTCAGTAAGTCGGGACAGTTATCCACAGCACCACGTACGCCGTTGATTCAGTGTTACCTATCTACATGGCGGCTAACAGTTTGCTTAAAGGCAGCAACAGCCGCCCCTTGGTCCAGCAGAGGCCCTCTTTTGTACACTGTGTTACTGAATGCGTACCCATCGGCCGGAGGGTAGTCAGGAACACTGGGAGGCTGCAAGACAAAACGAAGGGGATTAGTGTCACACACTGCAACGCGCTGCTTCCTCTGCCCCATAGCACTGCGCACGCTGCCAGCACTTGCTCCCAGGTGCTCATAGCTCTGCTATGAAAAGTTAATAGCTTCTGCATTTCAAATACGTACACAGAGAGATCAAAAGGACAAGAATAAAAGAATTTCTATCCTAAGTCATCCCCTGCCATCCCCTGCATTAATATTGCAGTGGATATTCTTTAGAAAAAACAGTTCTCCAGGGCAAGGTCCATGTCCTCTCTTACATATTGCTACAGCAACACAGGTCATAAGGAATGCCTGAGTGACTTTAAAATAAACTGCATAAGAAGCTGCTCTGAGCTCCTGTTCTAAATGAACACTAAGCCAGAAAACTTCTATATAAGAAATAAAAGCTTCCAAGTAAAATTATCATCCCATTGCAGGATCATAATATCAATTGGTTCATTTATGTAGGTTATCCTCTTACTAAATGTGGATGAATTCAAAGAAGAAATGCAAAAAGAAAGGTAATACTCTGTAATTAAGGATTTTAATTAAAGAAAACAATCACAATTTATTACAAGCATACATATAAGAATATTCAAATCCTTAGAAAATTCCTTTTGAGCAGCAGTCCTTCAAAAAAATCCAACTCTAAATCCAGCAATGATAGTTTGCTTCTATTAAGAATTATTTTAATGCCCATTTCCCAAAAGATAAAGTGAGTGGTTCATTTACAGAGATTATGAAATTGATGATGTCCATTTTAGATCTTTATCTTATGACACCATTCAGTTGCACAATGAGATAGAACAGCTGATAGCCACCACAAATCACCTCATCTCTAAAGCTTGGCTTTTTTTCTTGCTGTGTGGCTACAAAAAAAGCCCACTCATTTCTGAGTACTGACCTGGCACCCAGAGACGCTTGCCAATGGGGCTATGTGTTTGTGAAACTGAAAATAGTAAAAATAAAAAAAAATGCACAGGAATGACAACAACAAACAAACAAACAAAATCTACGGACAGACTGTTCTTAAAAGCAACATTATTAAAACCTCTTTGAAAAAAATCTCTCAAGTGTTACTGACTTTATATCTCAGATCAAAAGACCTGCAAGAAGCAGGAACTTGTTTTTACTTCACAAAGAAATTACTTGTGTTGCCTCAGACTCACTGAACTCTCCTCTCCAGCTCCCCATCAGCTCCCTGACATGGCTGAATTGAAGGGACTTCAAAGCCCACCCAGTTCCAACCCCCTGCCATGGGCAGGGCTGTCACCCAGCAGCTCAGGCTGCCCAAGCCCCCATCCAACCTGGTCTGAGTGCCTCCAGGGATGGGGCACACACAGCTTCTCTGGGCAGCCCGTGTCAGGGCCTCACCAGCCTGTGGGTAACAGATTTCTTCCTAACATCTAAACTAAATCTCTCCTGTTTTAGTTTAAAACCATTCCCCCTTGTCTTTCCAGTATCCAATCACGTAAAAAGTTGGTCTCCTTGTTTACAAGCTCCCTTTAATTACTAGAAGGCCACAATGAGGTCTCCCTGGAGCCTCCTCTTCTCCAGGCTGAACAAGCGCAGCTCCCTCACCCTAACTTTGCAGGAGAGGTTCTCCAGCCCTCTGATCATCTTCATGGCCTCTTCTGGACCTGCTCCAAGAGCTCCATGATGGAGCAGGTCCATATCCTTCAGGTGAAGGAGGATCCAGGCCTGGATGCAGTACTGAAGGTGGGCAATCACCTCCTGCTCCATGCTGGCCACCCCTCTGTTGATGCTGCCCAGGAAAAAGCAGTTGGCTTTCATTTTTCCAGCACTTTTTTGTTAAATAAGCTTTTGTGACAGTCTTATAGAGGAGTAATTCTTCTGGCATCACCCAATCCAGAGAGCTCCTTTTGCCGCAGACATTTTGCACTGGAGCAGCCTTTCCAGCTGAGCACCTAACACATTTCACAGCCATTGAGCAGCTCAGCACTTCTCCCCTAAGGCATGTGCTAAGGAGGCACTGGCACGGGAAGTCAGGGTACCAAGGTTAAACGACTTACTCATCATGAATGGAATCATGAAACCAAGGTTTGACATCACAGCTGCCAGTCCCACAGATGCCTTCAATGAATTACGATTATTATTATTATCATTATTTTTGTTATTAATATTATTACTCTCATTATTTAATCTTTTGAAGGCTACAAGGCAGAGTCAGCACACCTACCAATCCAATGAAAACACCTCCGTTTATTTGCCCCCTCAAAATAATTCTTTCAATTTATATGCTAATTCAATATATGTAGTATTCATCTTCATTAAAAATCAAACCATAAAAAAACTGCCCCTATTTTTCAATATTATTTTGCACATTTCACATGATTAAAGTGGAGAAAGGACTGTGATTTTTGTTTGTTATTTTGGTTTGTGGGTTTTGTTGTTGTTGTTGCTGTTTTTAATTTACAGGGAGCACAACATAAGAAAAAAAAAACCCACACATGGCAATGAAGAACAGCAGTGAAACAATGTTTGATGAGGCTTTTTGGGGAGGTGAGTATGGAATTAGATGAGGTTGACAGCTACATTTCATGTTATTGTGGCCATTAACCCTATACATTTTTTTTTTCAATAAAAAAAAAATATAGAGAAAAACTAGGGTGTATTTATTCTTGTGAATCCTATTAGGTTTAAGGACAAGCAGTGCTTTTAATAATCCAACATGAATCACAGTAGCTTCCTTTGCTTGACTAAATTTTTATGTAGTGTATGCTTTTAAGTGGAAATTTTCATCAAAATAAAGTTTGTTACAGCTTTTCCACAGGTAGTTTTGATATACTTTTGCTAGGGAAGCTTTTTGGGCTCCTAGAAGACTTATAAGAGTTGCTCTGTAAGAGAAAGCCATCCCACAAAATCTGATAAACAGTACATGATGAACTCAACTGTACCAGGCTAAGACTGAATACATCTCCCATGCCTTAGAAAAATCCCCTAACCATAAAGGTATTCTAAATTTTGATTGTTTTCATAATGAAAGCTGTATGACATAGAAAATGCTTTTCCTTTTAAGCTTCTGCCAGCTCCAGGCCCCATTGCTGTGCAGATGCTCAGGACAGCCAGCACAGTGCAAAGTGGCCAGCTACTCCCCCAGGACAGGGTAAATGCTCATGGCAGGAACTCAACACTAGAAAGCTGAACTGTGCTCAAAACCAGAAATGGCAACTATGGCAAGTATTTCTTGAAAGCACGGTATTCAGGTGATTCTTCTGAAATCTTTCCCTGGAATCTTTCTTTCTACATTCAATTTTTGTCACTAGTAGAATTTTATCATGATGCCCTCGACAGATCTATAATCTTAGCACTGAGATGTACTCTGAATATAATACTGCTGTAAATTGCTCAAGGAAGATATGAAAGTCTATGGACTGAACTTAGAAAATTCTCAGCTATGCTTTCAATTCACCATAGTTAACAGGGGAACTTGGACTTCCAAATCTTTGGATTAAACTAAAGCTACTTCAATATTTTAAATTTTTAAATTTAAGTTCATTTCCCCCTAAAACAAAAAAGTTCCAAAAACAAAATCTTTGATGTGTTTAAAGTGGCAATAGGTTTTTTTTTGTTGTTTGCATTCTTGTGCATGGATGCATATTTGACAACATGCTTCTTCGAATTCTTCTTAAAATATATGCAATCAAAATCAATGGAACCTGAAAGCACAGGATAAGAATCAAAACAAACCTTAAGGGCTTGGATTGTCCTCCCAGCTGATGTGGGAAAATGCACCAAGTTCAAGGAGGGCAGTAGGCAAAATCCTTCTTTTTTTCCTATTCACATTTTGGTGGCTGAACAGATATTTGCTTTCATATAGCTTTTCTGTAAGTACACTGAACCCGCACTGATGTAGCAGAGAGTGATCACTCTGACAGCATCCCAGATTTTTTTCTGTGAAAAAGTAGTTGATTCTGCTTTTCAGCAATTTACAAAACACTCTCAGTTAACCTACCTCATTTGATAATCTTTTCATTTCTTGCTTCCGCTGTTGCTCCGCAAAGTTTGCCACAGACTCAGCCAAATTATTGAGTTCTTGCTCATTTGGAGCTCCCATGAAGTTGAGCAAAGGAGGTTCCCAACCATTTCGGAAACGGGGAACATAAGGTGGAATGAACTGGTCTTTGGGCCAGTCAGCTCTGCATTGAGAGTAAATTAGAGATCTTTATCAAGGGTCATAAAAATACTACTTCCATAGACTTCCTAAAAAATGAAATATGTTTTAATATCATAGTAAATAAAGAACAGTGGTTGGGATTACTGCACATCAATCTTGTCGATTGTGTTAGACCACAGAAAATTTACAGAAAATATTTATTGACCATAACTACTTTTCTGCAAGGCACAGCAAGGAGCAAACTGTTCCTGCCATAATGACTTGTCAGTGCTAAAACAACAAATTTCTGGCTCGCAGCAAAGGATGACTAATAGAAGAATCAATCACAAGCACATCTAAGATTTGTTATAACTGTTAGATAGGAAAGAATTGCTGTGCTGCAATGTTTTGTTTGTATTAAAGAACCAAACAAAAGACTTCAAAGAAACTGCCTACTTTATATGAAAGACTGGAAGTAGGTATGTAGGTCATTCCGAAAGTAACACCTCCTATTTATTCCCATGGAAACTACAGAAGATACAAAGAGCACAATAACACTGATTGATAGTGCAAATGCTCGGCTACAAAATAGTATTTTTCAACACAGTCACAACCATTAGCTATGCATTTTCACCAGCGATGAGCAACAGCCTGTATGCCGTGCTCAACAAAATCTGCACCAATGGAGATGACTCATGCTCTCTGTCAGTGCTGATGAAATCCACCACCCACCACATCACTGCTCACATCCACTGTTTAGTCTTCAGAAACATTCAGTAATGTCACTGAATTCCAATGGGAGACATCTTTTCCACGTGGAGGAATTCAGTGACACTTTTGCTTCATACGCTCTTCCATGTCACATGCCATTTTGTCAGACTGCCCCTCTGCTGCCATCTGTCACACAGCAACAAAATGTAACTGAATATTGGTGGGAAGGTTCAACCTCTACTGCCATACCAGCAATATCACCTCTGATGTCATGGGCCAATATAGTAAAATAGGAGGCATTACTTTTGGGGCAGCCTTTGCATGTAGCAAGTAAGTTTAAAGGGCTGAGCTACACCTTAAGGAAGGAGTTAGGCAATAGATACCTTACAGTGTAATACAAAGAACTCTACATTCTTCAGGGCACAATAATTATCTTCACATTTACTGTTTAATAGTTAAGCTTAATCTTAGAATAGTCTATTATTTTTTAGCACTTCAGTCCCATTTTTTAATGTAATTCACAGTACGTAAATTAATGCTTTCATGCTTTGCCTTTGCACCATGCATGACATACTCTCCTGCAAAATAAATTACTGTATCTTCACAGCAGAACAAGAAACGAGAACATACATTACATTGTCTTAGTCTCACTGTTGACGCAGTTCAAAATTAGGGGGCACATGCTGCCAGTCACACAAGTTGCAGGACCACTCAGCAATTATTAGCCCATTGGCAGCTTCAGCTAGGTCAGTAACCCTCATGTTTCAACAATCATACATCTTACTTAACTGCTTCATAATGTACCTCAGCATAGTGAGATCAGACAGACTATAATTTCTAATCTTCACAGGTCAACCAGTTGTATTCTAAGTGCTGCATTCTTTGTGAAGCATGAGCTACTTCTCTTTCAATTACACTTTTTTCAGGATGGAATAAATGAATTATTAAGGTATTTCCTAAGATGAGAAGCCCAGTATTTTAAACAATAATCCATTTTCCTTGCAATAGGCTCCAGTGATATGTAGATTTCCACAGTGAGCCCATCACAAGCTGCTATGAAGCCAGCAAGCTCTGAGTAGGTAAAGGCAAGCTTTGCTGTGATCAAAACTCTGTCAATCACAAGGATCTCTAATTGCTGTTTCTTGCCCATTTTGTAGTAGTAGGCTGAACAGCAGGCACACAGGATGAATTTGAATGTCCTGGTCCAGCAGCAGAACGAGATCAAGAAAGGCAAACACATGTACATCACATTTCCTGTTACGAAGATTCTTGTCACTTCGTGTTCTACAGCTTTTCACGTAGATTCCTAACGCTCAATTTATAGTTATTACTTCTTAATCACTTTAAAAAAAAAATATCTTAATTGGTTAATTAACTTATAAAGTAAGAAAGCCACATGGTAGATATTCATTCCTGAATTTGGAATCCAAAAGAAAGATGAGTAAACTTAAAATACATGGCACCTTTCCAGTCCAAGGGCTTGCATACTTAATCATTGTCACGTGTGCTCTTCTACCACAGATTAGAATTAAAACACATTTTGTTTATCTTTTCTTTTGCATATTTTACTTAGCTAGGTAATTTCAAACCACATAAATACCTCACAAATTAACAAATACATAAACAAAGTAAATTGTAGTGAAATCTAACTGCAATAGCAAATCAATTAAATGGGACTTTTATGGGTATGCAGATGTAACACAAATCAGCCCATAAACATTCTTTAAAAGTTTAAGCACTTTCCTTATAGCATTATGATAATTTTAAAGAAGCATTGAAATTGAAAATAGAAATCTGTACCCTCTTTTACATAGTTTTTTCATTTTTTATTGCAACTTCTTCCAACTGATTTTTTAACCAATTTCAGACTGGCTGGGTTGTGAAAATAAGGGTGGAAAGCAACTGCAAGCATGAAACAGAAAAAAAATGATGGTATAAGTTTACATAATTTAGTCTCTACTCCTTATTCTATGAAGGAAAAAAAATGTTCTGTTTATATTTGCTTCCACCATGCCTAAAATCTAGCCATTACCAAATCCCAGTGAGGCTTAAGAGCTCCTTTCCAAAGAGTTTAAAGAATACTTGTGAGGAATAGTCCAAAGCCTATCAAACTACTATTGAGTTTGCTGGATGTGGATCATCTGGTTAAGACTGCGTCAATAAACACGAACTTCTCACCTGGCTTTGGTCCATGTGTCACCCAATGACATCCATAACTGCCCTTCCTCGCTGGTGACGGTATACTGTAGGAAGTCTATGGTATCTTTTGTTAGGAGGGGACTTAGTACTGTACTGGCAAGCTCTGGACCTCCTGTTGTCTGCACCACCTAAATCAAAATATTAAAATAATACAAAGAATACACACATAATAAAAAAGGAAGTTACGAGTATGTTACCTACATTAATGGTATGAAACATTTACTACTCAACAAATAAACAAATTCTGAGAAGCTAACTTGTTCTTAAGTCCTGTGGATGGATGAAGTAAAAGCATTTATTGCAGAACTGTTGTTCTGGTCACCTTTATATTGAGATCCACTTCTGCCAATGTTATTTTAATCTACTAATTGAAATGACACATATTTTAATTGAATTGGCACACGGTTATGCTTCCAACTCTCCTCATGCATGATGTATTTCTTTATTTGGTTTGTTTATTAAAATTGTAATGGCTAACTGCGATACAAAGAAAGATAAAGATATTTTAAACATATATACATACACATATGATAGATGTTAGCATGCAAAAAAGGATAAAACTTGTTTTCTTAAGAAATCTTCATCCTTGGATACACATTTCTCCATAGTACCTCTCCAGGGACAATTTTAAATCTCATCATTCTTGGAAAGATTTTAGATCTTACAAGTGTAAGAATTCTGAATAAAAATACCTAAAAAATTACAAAAGCTTACCATATGTAGTGGGGTAAAGAGAAAATGAACCAGTTCAGCTGCACTAGGATTCTGGATATGGAACTTTAATTTGGCCTAAAGTAAAGGAAAAATGATAAATTTTAACATACAATTAACTTCTATGACAATAAATACTTCAGGTAAAAATGACTGTCCCAGGTGAGAGCACAGGTCCATCTAAGTTGTATGTTTTGTCTCCAACATCAGCTAAGAGAAATGTTAAGGGAAGCATAAGAAGGAACAAGGCAAACATAAAATATCTGAGAAAAATTCTTATAAATTCACCAGCAATTTTCTCAGGGACTTCTTCAACTAAAAGTACAAAATACTATTGTTTTGCGTTAAAAGTCACTGATGGATTCTTCCCTTCAGTAAATTTATACAATTGCTTTTGAATCCATATAAGTGTTAGCATATATTGTGCAAATAAGAAGTACAATTCAATTGCATGTTTTGTCAAGAAGCATCTTATTTGGAAATATGCCACCTCTTGGTTTCACTAATACCCTGCAGTTCTTTTCCAAAAGAAAACTGAGCAATCATTCTTTCCTCACTTTTTCCAGTGATTCTCATAACCATTCACAGATTTATCACATTCCTCCTCTTTTTCATCTTTCTCCAAACTGAAGAAAAGTCTATAATCATTTCTTACAGCATTCTTGTTCTCCTTCCACCTTCTTCAATTTCACTGTTCAGGGAACAAGATAAAGTCAGTGAACCTGATGGTATATTGGTGATCTTTATTTGTTCTTATTTTTTGGTCTTTTGACAGCTTGGGTTAAAATTAGGCACCAGACCAATAAAGGACATCTGGTGGCTAGGATCCACTGCAGGCAGCCTGATCAAGGGGAGCCTGCTGACAAAGCCTTCTTGCTTCAGCTGCAAGAAGGATCACGCTTGCAAGTTCTCATCCTGATGGGAGATTCCAACCACCTGGATAACTGCTGGGAAAGCAACAAGGCAGACTGCAAGCAATTCAGGAGACTCCTGGAGTCCAGTTAGGATAACTTCCTGGTCCAGGTATTAGACAAGCCAACATGAGCTGAAGCATTCCTGGACATGGTGCTCATCGGTGCACAGAAGATCATTAAAGAGGTTAAGTCTGGAGGCAGACTGGAGCCACAAAAAATGATTTTCATGAACACACTGCCCACCATTAAGCTCTTCCAAGTAAAATACACATTACAAAAAAAAAAAAAAGGTGCATATTTTCTCTACTACAGCTTCTTGGAGGATTCCTTTTATTTAGAGATCATAGGCTCTGGAAGTAAGAAGCATTCCAGAAAGTATTTTAAAAAGTTATAGCAGCTTTTATTGCATCTTGCTGTCTGTTCCTCAACATCCTTTTAGCTGGCCTCATTCTAGTTTTGCATCTAGCCTTCTAAAGCGTGCCTCCAAATATAGATAAAAGGAGAATGTATTTTTACTGCTAATAACTTTCTACACATTGTTCTTCACACGTAACAACTTTATTTTGGTCTTTCTATAGTTTTCTTTTTGGCAGATGGTAGGAATTTTCTAGGAGCTTCCAGCATAGTGTTTTAAAATAGTTTCCATTCTACTGGCAAAGATTTTATTCTTCAAGCTATTCCTTTTATTTTTAAACTAGATTCTTCTTCTTTACACAGCTCTCCATATCTGACATAAAGCCCTAGGAAGTGAAATTTCAAGCTTTTGTGGCTTCTTCAATGACACTGAAGCAATGCATTGGTATGGCATTATGAACAGTGTTAGAAAATAGTCTTTCTCAGCACTGAAACAAGAACTATTTCTACTCCCGCACAGAAGACAAAGATTTTTATATACAAGTGTTACTAGATAAAGAAATCATTTAAATGCAGAATGCAGTATGAAGTAAGAATGGAAAAACCAAACCAGATTACATTTCTAGCTCTGTTCCTTTTTAAAGAGCAGTGGAGACCAAGACCCACGCTCAGAGTTCCCCATATGGTGTGATCATCTCTGCATGGTTTACAGCTGCAGGGATTTAAAGTCCACTAGGTTTCTCTACACAGACAAGGCACTAGGAAAGCTAGAGAGAAAACAGAACACTTAACTACTGCTTTTCCAAAGAGGAGATAGCCTTTGCAGCTCCTTAAGGAGTCATCAATAAAGCAGCTACATTCTCTTGAACTGCAGGAAATCTCCAAGAAAACCCAACTTAAAAATAACTAAAAAGAAATCTACTGTGGTAGTTATTCTTCCTTCTCTTCAACTTTCACCAGAATTTTAGTTTTTCACTTCCTACTACTGGAATATGACCCTAGGAAAACCACTGCAGTGCTCGAATTTACAGCAACAGGGAAAACAAATATCATGTTCTATGTAACATTAGCTATCTGAGGCAAAAACACCATATCTACCTGCAGTTACTTACCAGAAGATTGAAGCCATGCTTGAACTTTTGGAAGCAGTCAACAAACTCATCTGGAGGTGGTGGTTTTGAACGGAGAGTAAGAACTCCCTCTGATAAATAAATTGACATTTTTTTTACATCCATTCATATTTTACATCATTTCTAAAAATATTATGGATATAATAAACATATAAAACATACTTAATAAATTTACCTACTTACAAAATGCTGTAAATATAAAACAACTACAGTGAACGTATTCTGTAGTCACATCTCTAATCAGACACTCCCCACTGATTCCAAACAAAAGTTTTTAATTAATTTCTAAGAATATACTGTGTGGATATCTCTTCTTGTGCTTAAAATGAAAAACTATTACTACATTCATGAAGGAAAAAAGCAACACAAAAATCCACATATGCTAGCTATTTCAATGATCTTTGGAGAAACAGAATTCTGCATAGTAAGAATTCCTACCTCCGGGTCCTTTCTTTTTACTTTTCTTAGTTTTCTTCCTCTTTGAAAGTTCAGCAAATGCTTCAGCAGCTTTTTGAAGTTTGGTAACAAAATATTCAATGTCATCCAAAATATGGTTCAGAATTTGCTATGGGAGAAAAGAAGAATAACAGTTTCATTACTGAAACTGTACTGACATACTCAAGAAGTTAAAAGAACTAATCTCTCAGATACCAAAAGCTCCATCTGTACAAAGTTCATGCTAGAACACCATGTATTTAGATTCATTATATCCTTTACTTTACATAACTGTCAAGTATTGTGGAGCTTAGACTATTCTCAAAACTCTGGGCAACTAGAGGTTTTTAAAATGTAAGCATCAAGATTATTAAGTTCAATTACACAGTTCATTCACACACTAAATTTTCTCTCACAGCACATGAAAAAAATTCTAATTATTTGTGTAGGATAGCATTTTCCTAACCTGTATAACTTCATAATCTCCTTTAGCACAAAGTATTAAGCTATTTGTTGAATGTCAGAATGTTATTTCAGAGAAGTGCTCTTTGAAAATAATTCTTCAAAGAGCAAATGCAGAAAAAAGAAGGAGCCCCAGGGGAAGCACATACACAGCAAATTCAGCAGGCCCCAACATGCTTCCCTCAAGGCCCCCTGATGCTGTAAAGTAGAAACTTACAACTAGCAAACAAAGAAATATTTGATACTGCATACACCATAGGACCTGCCCCAGATTTGGCTAGAAATTGTTAGCTTACGCAAATTCATAGCACATCTGCCTTTGGAAATGACCATATGCTTATGTTCTGGAAATTGCACAAATTTACATCCCACTAAATTGAGGAAAATTAAGTTTACTGTTATGTATTCTCTGAAATTTAGTCTTCACAAAACTAATGCTTATGCTTCTGTCTCTTCACAGCAAAAAAATTAACATCCTTTTTTTTTTTCTTTTTCCTTCAGGGAAAAAATAGTAATAACAATTAACTACTTTATGTTCATTTAGAGGTTTACCACACAAATGTGAATACCCAGCATGCTTTCCTTCAGAACTGAATTTCCCAAGTGGAAAAAGACTTCCCAAGTAGTAGAGACACACAATTTCTCAGAAATTAAGCAATATCTTTTGTTGTTTCTCACTTACAACATCTCTGTCAATCCTGGCTGCTATCATTTCTGCCGTTTCCTCATGGTCAGGGTATTGTCTTTGTTTTTCATCTGTGGAAAAGGGAAAAGGAGGATGAGATGTGTATTTATGCAGAATAGAAAAACTAACACCTCCTATAGAGCTTATGCTTGAAACCCCGCTACTGCAAGAAAATGAAGGACAAAATTGTTTTTACCATTTAATTTGCAAGGACTGAAGAACTTGTACCCTAATTCCTGATCCTGTCAAGTCTTACAAAAGAGCTTAGGTGTATGATTTAAGCCAGCTTAGCTTTATAAATTAACCACACTACAGAAGTATGGTACTAGGGTCTTAATTATGCATACATACATACATACATATATATATATATATTTATATATATATAAATGGCAGATTATAAATAAAATGCAAGGAGAAATTGTCCTATTTTGCAAAATATGCTGAGAGGTACCCCAGTAGAAGTAGACAAGAAGTAACAGCATAGCCCTGAATTTGAAGACAATTTTGATGTAAAAGATAATAAGCAAAAGGGATATAGGAAATTTGGGCAGAATGACCAAGTCTGGCAACAGAGAAATGGAAGATATCAATGTGATAAAATATGCATTTGCAAATAACAATGGACTTATGTGTGAAACAGTGACTTATGCTTGAAAACAACAAGGGAAAGCAGTTTGAGAAACAGTAAGTTTAGCATTTCTAAATCACACTACATTCTGTATGGCTTTTGTTAATACGTGGGATCTTAGTAAACACTTTTTAGGAAAGACCCACATGAATGGAATAAAAGGAACCACAGGAACTCAGACCACTGATGGATCACTCAGTAAGTTAATGAGACTTTTTTACTGTTTCTTTTTCTCTTTCTTTTTTTTTTTTTTTTTTGTCCTGAGAGAGAGTAAGAAGTGAAACAATAGAACCAACTTGCTGTTTGTTACTCAAGGTAGGTGCAGAGGTGCAGATTACTAGGTGATAATGTTCTTAATGTTCCTTATTTCTCTGAAAATTTTTGTTCTCCCTGCATAATTGATTTATTGACTTAATTGAGTGATATAGATTAATAAACAAAAGTAATGCATATGGTATAATGCATATTGGGTAATGATTATAATTCTAAAATTTTAGTATTCGTTTTTAAAGAAACCTCTCACCTTAACCATGATTACTTCATTATTACAGTCTGTTTTACAGAGCTTGATTGTTTCTAATTCTTTTTTTAATGGAATCTGATTAAAATAGAATGTTTCCACTTTATTATTTTCATAATCCACAGATTATAAAATAATAATATTCAGAAATACTGCAGCATTTCTTGGGTAAGGCTTTAACAATATAAACTAGGTTAGCTATGCCCGGATGAATAAATAAACACATAATGTTGATCTCTAGTCAGCTTTTAATCCAAGTGACTGTATTTTTTAATTGTCTGAAATATCTGGCCAACATTCTTCCTACTAATAAATAGGGCATCATTAAATTACCAGAGTTATGACAATTACAGATTACTGTGCATGTTATTATGTTCACATAAAAGCCCGAGTTAAAATCCACAGCCCACACATCTATCCATCTGAACTCAAGTAAACAGGGCTCTGAACACAAATTCAGAAAAATGTTAAGTAAATGACAAGTCAGATTATGACAGCCTGGTCATAATTCCACAGATCAGGCAACAGTGTCTTGGGGCATTTTGAACTGACTGGGAGAACAATTCTGCCCTCTCCAAGCTATGGCAGAGGGGTGACCTAGTACAGCAATTACTCTATCTGCATTCAACGACTGCAGTCTTCATGAAAGCCTGTGAATTATTTTCTATTACTGAGGATCATAAAACCCTACTGCCCAGAAGAACTGGTTATCACTGCGCAGTGCAACACAACTCACAGTCCCCTTGCTCCGCAGCCCACGCGGACCACGCTGCCACACGGCTTCTCACATCCACCTGGGTGATGGTCCCTGGGGGAACAGGGGCAGGAGCCCGTGGTGGGGGAGGGATAGCACCATCAGCACTGGAGATCATCCTGCAGGAAGAGAAAGGGTCCCACCAGTGAAGTTAACACAACGCATTTCTAACGTGTAATTAGAGAATATAAGGTTTACCAGGACCCTTCTACTGTCAAACATGCTATGGACTTGCCAAGTCACGAGTGCTAACGGTCACGGTATGCAAATAGATTAAACGTAGCAGGAAACCCACTCTGTGATGAGGTTAGCAAAATATGCCTCAATAAACCAAATACTCTTTCACATAGACACACGGGACATGGTTTAGTGGGCACAGTGGTGATGGGTTGATGGTTGGACTTGATGATCTAGTGGTCTTTTCCAACCTTAATGATTCTATGATAAATTCCAAAGCACTGCCAGAGAACATGCTGTCTAGAGATTTGATTGCATTTATGGGTAAATTTTGTGCATTTTATTTGCAGTTTAATGGCTGGACTTCAATATTGTACTTAAATTCTTCGTTCAGAGTCATCTTGCAGCCATCACCAGTTGTGCACCTGTTCTCTGTGTTTGATAGGTTGTCAACCAAGAGCTTCTTAAAACCCTACCAACAAAAGCAATTGCATTCACAGGCTGATTTTCCTTTTTAGATCAATCTGTTCATCCCATCTTGATGCAAATGTATGACTGTTCCCACTTTCAATTTTCATAGAATCATAGAGTAGGCTGGATTGAAAATGATCACAGTGATCATCTAGTTTCAACCCCCCTGCTATGTGCAGAGTCACCAACCACCAGACCAGCTATCCAGAGCCACATCCAGCCTGGCCTTGAATGCCTCCAGGGATGGGGCATCCACAACCTCCTTGGGCAACCTGTTCCAGTGCATCCCCACCCTATGAGTGAAAAACTTCCTCCTAATATCTAAGCTAAACCTCCCCTGATGCAGTTCAAAATGATTTTCCCAGTTCCCAGTCCCAATTTTTCCAGTTCTTAATCTATCTTTAAATACCATAAGGAAGGAGGTCTTTGAAGTCATTCTGTAACTCAGTATCAAAAGACAAAAAATCCCAACAAATCTTTTGAAACTCACATCCCATCCCTATTTAAAAGAAGGATTTTCATCTTCTTCTTTATTCTTCTCTTCATAATCCCATCTCATTCATGGCATTCAACAACAGCACAAAATACAATTTGGTCACTTATCAAAAAATGATGTTTTCTTCACAGTTCCTTCCTCTAGTCTCCTATAGTCACCTAAGCATTCTTTTTTTGCATCTCCTACATTGTTTACTTGTAAATAACCTTGCAGCAATTTGATGGTGCAGTGTCAGACTTACTACAAGATCTCCAGAGTAATCAAACAGGACCCATCTAAAGAAGGCTTTCTTCCTTGGCCCAGTGCTAACACATTCATGAAATGACAGCAAGTATTCAGTGCTGAATTGTCATGCATTAATGACCTTTAGGCCTCAAAGCTTTTAGAGACTGATATGTCAGATTACTTTTCCCTGTGGATGTACTGACCTACATTCATTTCCCAACTAAATCTCATCAGCTTTCCCCAAAGTGTTTGAGTCCAGGTGGTACACATTTTTGTGCTTACACTTATCTGTTATTGTACCTCAAACAGTAAAGTGTGCTTGCTTAATTTTAAACCCATATGTAAAATCTGATGCACTTCTGCCTTCTTAATTTTTTTCAACATAAGTGTCCATTATTCTAGGAAAACTTCACACGTTCCACACCAGAATTTAACAGGCAACTAAGGCAGCAATAAACTTATTCATACAATAGTGACTTTTTTACTTACAGATTTTTGTACCGCAGAGAATTCTCTCACTGGACCGCACAACTATTATTGAGCAATGTCATCAGGATTCAGCATACAGACCACCACCATCCTATTCAGTACTTAACATATTTGTGCCCTTGTTTCTACACTTGCACCAGCTACTGTATTAATCTGAAACCAATAGACTCTTACTCCACCTTTTCCTGTTGGGAGAGAAGTTTTCCCTACCAGGGAAACAAGGAGTTTTTCAAGTCATTAAACAGGCAGGAATTTTTTTTTGTCCTTAGTTGCTGTTTTATTTAACATCTTTAGATCCCAAAACCTCGCTTCCTTGGAATTCAGGAAGATTCATATTTTTATTTCAAATTTTGAACTATTTTATCCATATACAGAACTCAGACACACAATGCTATTCTCTAGCAACCTGCACTTATGTCAGCTGTTCCAGTTACTAAAGCAGAATTGGGAAAGTTAAGAGTGACACTATAACTCGAGACAGTTTGAGATAATTAGTAAGTCAAGTCCTCTACATGTGCTTTTTGAAGTATATTATCAACTAGCCAAAAAAAAGAAAAAGAAACAGCAGACAGACTTCATGAGTGTCTCATGACCCCATATATTGCCAAGAAACTAGGTTTTTACCTCAGTGTTTCAAGTCTCTTCTTTTGTTTTCCACTCTTGCTGTCACTGATTGCACTTTCTATATCTTCATAAATAAAGCTAGCCTGAAGAGACAGAAGCAGAGTCCATCAGTTCTCATCTAGACTAAGCAGATATATGAACTAATGATCTCATCATGTACTTTTTGAAGTTATCTTTTGATTACAGAATCTCTTATCATATTCCATTAAGAAAAAAAAAAAGCAGGGATTTATATGGAAACAGAACAAAGAAAACACGACACCATTCTCCGGGAGCTGGTATTTTTGTCACTGCTCCAATCTCAAACGTTATCATCAGATGGATGTGTTATCTAGATAATAAATTTGTCTGAACATTTGTAATTATCCAAAGTCAACAATTACTGCATGAGCTATTTTTCCCCCTCCATGGTTCTTTGTTGCTGGTTTTTTTTCCTGTCAAAAATATTTGTGAAAGACATAAAGTAAAACTACTATAAATAGTAGTAGCATAAGGATTAGGAAAATAACTGGTAGTAATAGTCTCCTGTAAGAAGATAGCCTCCAATTTCTCTTTGCCTTAGTAAAAGATGAATTTTTCAATACATTTCCTGATCCTTAGGTTCCTGTCTCTCCATTACTGCAATCTGTCCTCACAGTGGCCTATAAGTGAAATTCTGATACATGTCTAAGGCATTATTTTAATAGATCTTGCATTAAGTAGGTCACAGCTTCTCATAGGATTTAGGATGCTCTGTTACATATCTTGAGCTGACAAATTAATTTCCTATACAACTTGTCAAGGCCTAAATCTGTCCATGTCTAGCTCATTCTACAAGTTCTACCTGTCTTGGAATAAAAACGTGTAACTTCATAGGAGGAATATGTAACCACTAGAACTAGTATGGGACTAGAAACTTCACTGAATTGAGAGATTAACAGAGTTTTCAGAATACAATGAGAAAGATGAAGGTTAAAGAATTAATTGAACAACTTGACAGGAACTGAGGAACAAAAGCATTTCATTAATTACACTATTTATATTTATTATTTAACAATTGTGTTTTTTTAGAAAATAGTGACTGACCACAATATAATTCATTTTGAATAAATTGCTATTGCAGATGCTCCTGAAGTGTGTTATATGTTCTAACTGAAAGCATTAAGAAGGCAATGAATAAGATCTAACATCTCAAGAAGAGCCAAGGCTTATGAAAAAGGAACAGAACCTAGGATAAGGTCACAGACTCAAATGATATCTCAGAAGGAAAAAGGGATCCCAGTCTTCAAGTCATGCTTACGCATTCTGCAATTTTATTTGCACACAAGAACTTCAAAAGATGGGAGTCTGAAGAGACCCTATACACCTTTGGAAGCTGTGTCTAACCAGACCTTAAAAGAGGAGTGCTGCAATATTTAGCATGCTGCAAACTGAACTCACAGGATCCCAGTTTCCACTGAAACAACGAATTTTGTGCCACACAATTGGCAATCAGCAATCTTCACACCAGTTGCAATGAACCAATTTCAAAATGTTTGCACAATGCAATTAGCAATGTGATGTTTTAAGACAATGATATAAGCTCCTAAGATGTGACTGGAGAAAAAAAAAAAAAACAAACCATAAAATGATTGAGCAAAACTGAAAGAAATACCAATTATGTGGAGTAAATAACACATTAACATTTATAATCTTGGAAATGAAGAAGCACTGCATTGAATGCATTAAAAATATTTACTCTGGAAGCTTGAAGGGAATATTTTAATCAGAGATAAACAATCTCTTTCCTTCTTTTGTCCCTCCTGCAAGCAATATTTACCATTTTACAATCTCTCCTGCAGGACAGAAATGCAGAGGCAGAGATGCTGAGGAGGCTTAACTGTTCATTGGCAAAAAGATTAGAAAAAGAGAAGGAGTAGGAAAGACTCAGGACTTGGTTGAGTTCTTTCTAGATTATAAGACAAATCTGAGATAACTCAAACTATTTTACACCTCTTTCTTAGAAGTGTGAATGCAAATCATATGCATATTCCAAAGCTTTGGTCCTTTACAAACACAAATGAACAGCTACAGAGCCCAAGAATCAATATTTACAATAATTACATATTTGCACATGCACTAAAGATTCCAGCTCACATAATCTTTTCTTACAAGATATACTATGCTGCTTATATTAGCATACTGTAAGTCATGTAGATATCATAAATGCATGAAGCTCGAACTACACGTATAAGAATAAAAGAACATAATAATTTCCTATGAATCAGTTTATTTTGTTTTACCCATTGTACTTGCCAATTCATAAAATTTCCCCTGCTGAAATAAGTCAAAGAAGATCTGCATTACCACCTTACCTTAATCTCATCACATTGGAAAAGATGCAAATCTGGCTTGTTCTGAGTTGGTTCTTTACATACTAATGCAAGAATTGAATTGTAATTGCATGCATTCATCACAGCTTGGCAATGCTGAATTGTGCTTAAAGGAAAATTCTCCAGCTCATTCTGCCAGAAGGGAAACAAAAACCAAACAAAAAAACAAAAACAAAAACAAAAACAAAAAAAAAAAAAAAAAAGAGAAAAAAAGAGTCTTAATATTCAGTGTCCTGATCTCAAAAAAAGCTGCATGAGTTAAAAAGAGAAAGTGATAATAAGCTAATTAAAATACCAAATCTCACACACATCATTTTTTCTGTCCCTTCCCTCTCTTTCTCTCTCTGGAAATGAGACTGCCACTCACAGATCGTACCTTTGATTCCAAGTCCACCAAACTGACAGCTTTGTCATCCACTTGAAGAATCATATCTTGAGTCCACACTTTGCCTTTAGCATCCAATAATTTCAGCTTCCTTATTCCATCATCTACTGTAATCATTGCTTCTTTTCGGTCCAGAACAAAGGTGGTCAAGTGCTGGTGAATGACACAAACATTAAAATAATAACAGAATTTTAATCTTCCTTATCACTAAGCAATGTCAGTATCCAAATTGCCATGAAAGAGCAATAAAAATAACTCATGAATGAAAGTGCCTTTTAGGACAGAATCAACCAATATGCCATAGGGGAGGTTGTTTAGTCCATAATGTCATTTTAAACTTGCTGCTCGCCATCTTCTGTCATTTCCTCACTACGGCAAATGGTTACACTGGAAGGCATATTATGACATCTTCCAGGTATCACAGTGAGAATCAAATCCTGAGTATTTAGTTAGCTTTCTTGAGAAGTGAAAACCTGTCTCTATCGGTAAGCTGAATCCAGAAAGCATCAGTAGAAGCCTTGCAGAAACATGCTGCCAACACATCTCCACCACCACCCTGACCTGGAGCATCCCTATCTCTCCCAGAGTTGCCAGCTAGCACACTCATGGCAAACATCATGAGCTTGTACCTGACTGGTATACCTTACAGACAAGGAGGTATTTGCTTCTTTTATGCAGTACACAATAGAAGTAGTAGTATATAAACTATGTTTGCTCACTGTCAACTTGGAATATTCTCCAATTTTAATTAATGATCTAGTAATGAAACATTACTCACAGGCATCATCTCAACTTGTTTCCCTGTCTTTTAAGTTTTGTCAATTTCTCCTTAAACATATAAGCCATGTAAGACAACCTATAAAGTCATTTAATTTTTTCCAGGCACAACTCCAGCTTCACATTCTTCTTTAAGACCTGAATACAGCTCAAGCTGAATTCACTCAAGCTGAATCGATTTTAATGTATGCTTGCACACCTATCCTATAAATAGCTTAAAAGAATTAAGTGAGCTTTCTTCTATTACAGGGTAACAGCACACGTTAATGACAAACAAGAGAGTAGATACAAGCTGCATATAATCAAAGTATTTTAAAAAGTGAGACAAACCCTGCTTGACTGCTCACACAGGAATACTTAAACTTCAAATACAAGTACTAATTTTTATGCCTGTGGAGTACCAAAATGGTTACACAGAAGCTAAATACAGACAGACAATTAAAAGCAACATAAACATTCCTTTGAGAGCTGATCAAGGATAGAAGTACTTGGAATGAAGAGAATGAAGACTCTTCTAAATACAATCTCACAATTTACAGATAAATTTAAAACCCAGCTGAAAGGACCTGGGAATCTACATTTTTTTGCAAAATTCAGTTAAACCCATGACAGTGTTCTGATGGTAAAGGAAAAAGGTTTCGCAAAAGAAAGACTGCATAATGAGGAACAGCACCCAGAAGTGCCTACAGACTACGTATAGGCACCCAGGCTTACTTTGTTGAATATTTAATACTTGTCTACTTCTGGACAGAATATGACAGCAGCACAGAGTATTTCCGCAAAGCAGCTTAAGATAGGAAGGAAAGTATTTTGCATTTCTCACTGGGGAAGAGCCTGTGCAGGCAGTATATCACCACTAACAGAAGATTCAGGCTTTTAGGGCTTAGTACCCAGCTTTTTCTAACTATTAAGACACCTCTGTTGTTTATAAATAATCAAGGTATTTATACTAATTATGAGACAGCCTTCCTTGCTAATGGCCTACCTCATCCCTGCAACATAACAGGTTCAGAATCAGGGCAACAGAGCACACTGAGCTGTCGTCCCATTGAGAAGCCCTCTCCACTTGCCAAACTATATACTACTTTGTTTACATTCTTCTACATCAAAATTTCAGCTCTTTATGGCAAAGCTAGACAATTTGATACATTTCAATGTAATCTGTTCTGAAGTGACCTCGGGCTGGCAGGATATTTTGGAAGATTCATATGTCTTCAAGCACATTATCCTCAAAAATCATGTAAGCGAAAATCACAATATAACCAAAAGCTGTAAGGGGTAGATGGCGTTCTCATACATCCTTATCTCACCTCTACGTGATACTGGGAAGTTTCCGATATGCTGCTGGCACTGTCCCGTGCATAGTTCTTTCTTTGTTCTAAAGATTGAGAGAAAAGAAAAGAATTATTCATTTGCCTCCTTACCATACTGTGTTCTGGATACTTCTCAGAGATGCTTAAAACAAGCTGTATATATGAAAGCAGAAGGTGAGCTGTGGTTATTTCTGTATTCAGAAGAAAAAAAAAGCTACATGCTCACACACTCCAGCAAGAACCATACTTACACTGATGTTAAAAGCCAGCTATCTTGACTTGGTGGCACCAGATGGAAACAGTGTTCTGGCTGGAAATGCTTCATTGGGAAGCCTGACTTAAAAATCACTGGCTTTCCACTTGGTAGCAACATGGTAACTTGCAGAGTTGCCATTGCATGAGTGCAGAAGGTTTTCAGACATACACAACTCTCACAAAAAATAAAGCCAATCGCAGACCCAGTCTGTGTCAACATTTATTTCTTCCTAGTACATTCAGTCTGTTGAATCAGTAATGTAGAAATATTCATAGAAAGAAAGAAGGAAAAAAGAAGCCAAAAGCTGTAGCAACATAAATATTAAATAGAACAGAAATATTTTTCAGTTGAACAAAACACGATGCTGCAAAATCAGAAACAGTTTGCCTCTTACTCCACACAATGGATTAACAACAAACCCAGAGAGGAGGGAGGGGAATATGCAAAATGAGGACACAACACGCACCCACATTAAAAACCAATGAATGTAGGTGAATACTTCAAACAAACAAACAAACAAAACAAAACAAAACAAAACAAAACAAAACAAAAAAAAAAAAAAAACAACCAACAAACCAACCAACCAAAAAAAAAACAAATAAACCTCACACCCTCCACTTTTCAACTTTATTTTGAATTTTCAATACAACACATACGAGCTTTCCTCTTTTTTTCTTTCCCTGATCACCAATGAAATAGTCCAATTTGAAACACCAGAGCATTGACTAAGCAAGGAAGTCACTGAGAGAAACTCAAGGAAATTAAGCATTTCCTAATTTTTTTCCTCTACGGTTCACTAAATACCTTGAGTTCTGATCTTCGAATAGAATAGGCAGTTTGATCGTGTTTGGAATGAAATGTGTGTAACTGATGTTACATTCATTTCATCATATCCAATTGGAGTATGTAGGGGCAAAATGAAAGTGCATGCTTCTGTTGACAGGAGATATTAGTTATTTTTTGCAAAATTAAAACTACTACTAATGACCACATGTGATCTTCTATGTAAAGAGATCTGCAGGGAGGACACCATGCATGCAATACTTTAAAAAGCTCTCCTATGACCAGGGTTTCTACACAGAGGAATCTCGGGTATTGACAAGGAAAGGGATGCCCTCACTTACTTAAAAGGGTATATTGTTACCCTTTATAATCACATCCCTTATTTCTTCAGTTCTCAGCCAGTCTCATGAAAGACAATCCAATTCCCAATTTCTAAAACCCCTCCTTGGCCCAGAGTCCCCTCCTCAATGGTAGACACAGCTCATGCATCAGAGCCATCCTGCTACCCTACAACAGCTACTCAGCTTGCTTGGTTTAGCACAAGAAGTCTGCACTGCAATCACCTAACTGAAGAATGCCATGGATTATCAGATTTTTTTAACTAGGTATGTGAACAGTTTAAAACAGATACTTTAACTTTATCACCTGTTACCTCAAAATTCCACGACAGGGAACCCGCACTGATTCCAACTGTGATTAATATTTCTGCTTTTGCAGCATGTTATTTAGGTATTTTGTTTGACTCTTATTCTTTTAAGGACAGTAGGCACACACACATGCACACCCCAACAAAACAGTAGTACTGTCTGACTTGCTACCTTTCTTTTTTTGTTTGGATGATGATCTGAAGAAGTAAAGTCCATCTGTTCCTAACAAAACAAGGAAATTAAAAAACAGTATCTGGTTTAACTCCATACAATTATTTGCATCTCCAAGGGGACTAGTTAACAATCTTTCATTACAGACTATAAAATGCTGTCCAGTAGGAAGGAAAATAGGCCTAAAAAAAAATAAGAAGAAGAAAGCCATGTTTCAATTTACAATACACCCAACATTCAACTCTGATTATTATCTTTTTGAGGTGAAAAAGAGAATTTTTTTTAATGACAAGAAATGAAACCAAGAGAAGGAATCTTCCATCCACTGCAAAGCTTATGAATCCTGCAATTAACAACAGAGTGGCTTTAAGCATGGAAAGTCTTCCATAAGGGGAGACTCCAAGGGAATGAAAAAGCAGAGAGCAACTCTTGAAAGTTCATGCCCCATTTCCCAGAATTTTTGTCCTGCTTTAGGATATCCAGAAGCAACACTGACAAGCACATCCTCTTCCACAGAACAGCACAGCATTCACACTAGATAAGATGGTAAGTTTTTCGGCACACCATGTCACAGTGAGAACAATAGTGTTTATTTAAGAAAGAGCTTTCTGAGTGATAATAAAAGCTGTGGTTGCCTATAGTTGAGAGCGAAAGAGAGCCCCTCAAGTTCTTCATTTTTAATTACAACAGGTCAGCAACAAGAACTTCAACACAATTTTCAATTAGCAAAAGCCAGTAAGTGTCTGTGATAATAAATAAAATTATGGTAACCACAAAAACTGACAGTCCATATTGTGTTCAGCAGTAATTCCAGTTCACTTATTTATTTTATAAACATGTTTATGCTGGCAGGATGTTTATTAGAACCCATTAGAGATCTAATTTATCCTTTGTCATCCTACAGGCCCTTCTATCTTTCTAATAAGTACCTCAGCATCGGGCAAAATTCTTCAGTTGCTTCTGGAAGAGTTTTTCCTCAACGTTTGTTTTTCAACCTAATATTTAGAAAGTGGATCTCCTTACAGAGTCAGCCCAGCTGCTAATAGCCCAAACTTCCAGAGAGCAAATTTTCCTGGCAGCCTGGCATAAGTCGTGCTGCAGAAAGTGTCATAAAGGATGTGAATGAATGAATGAAGTCTCCACATGATAATATAAGCACAACACAATGAAAAAATAAAAAATCAAACAGACAAACTGCAATCCTCTGCAAGCTCTCACCTTGCACTTAGACGGGAGGACGCATAAACCCTGCTGCATCCCTTCTGCTGATGTGTCATCGCATTGGATTTCCAGCAAAAAACATCACTCTTGTTATTCTGACCACTTTTACAGAATACCTGAAAACTTCCCTTGACTTATTACACGATATTCAACTGCTAATAATAATTCACACTCTATTACAGAAAATGAGCAACAGAATTTGCTGACTTATTGAATGCACCTTGTCTGACTAGGACAGAATTAATTATTTTCACAGCAGTTTGCATGGGGCTGTGTTTGGGATTTGTGACTATAAGAGCACTGGTAATGTTTTAGCTATTGCTGAGCAGCATTTGCACACCATCGAGACTATCACTGTTTCTCTGCCTGTCCCCCAGATAAGTTGCTGGGAGGTTAGGGAGTTAGCAAGGGAACATGGTAAGGCCAGCTGGCTCAAACTGACCGGAGTCCCACTGCATATAGAACAATAAAGCCATGCTCAGTAATACAACTGAGTGGTGTTATTTCCAAACTAACTGCTGTCCGGAGCACTGATCTGCTTGCAGGAGGGTGGGAGGTGGTGAGCAAAGCAAAATGCCTGCATTATTTGTTTTGTTTTGTTTCATTTATTTCTTTCTAGTGCTATTCCCTCCCTCTCTTTCCTTCACTCATTAAACTGGCTTTATTTCAGTCCAGGAGTTGTTTTTTTTTGCTGCTGCTCTTTCTATTCTCTACTCTAATAGGCTGTCGAGGGGGAGGGGTAGCAGCCGGGCAACTCACTCAGGGAAGGCCCTCAGATGCTGGCCTGGGTCAAGCCCTTACATTGGAAAAAAATGTTTTCTGTGTTCTGTTTCAGTCTCCTAATCCTCCAGATCAATTTTAGCCTCTCAGAAGTCTTCTCACCCATGAAAAGAGTTATTGAACAAGAAGTAAGATTCTACAACAGAGGCTTCAAGATGTGATGAATAAAGCAATCACAGCTATCTCCTTTTTCTGTTTATTCTCCTTATTACAGATCTTACATCCAATACATAAAATGCAGTGCAGCCTTCATACCAGTCAATTCAAACCCAGCTGATGTGCTACACACAATTTATCTAATATATTTTTCCCTCTGATACAGGAAAATACAGAAGTAAATATAAAAAGATCTATAGATATAAAAATCACAGCAGAAGTCACCAAAGTTAAATTCTTAATCACAATCTACCTCAAATGCAACCCAGAGGAATTTGGGCAGAATAAAATTCCTCTCAAAGCAAGTGCAATAAACTTAAAAGCAGAACAGCTATTTACTCATGACTCTGACTGCAAGATCTATCAGCTATCAAACTTGTCAAAGGCATACATCGATCCACAGAAAGACTTAGCTTCTTTCTGATGCGGAGCAATGCTACTGCTCCTCATGCCTTTGTGAACTTATTGAATTTACCACTCATCAGGAATGGATAACATATCTGGTTTTAAAAAGATGTGAGAAGATGCTGACTTTATACTAAACTTGGAAGCAGACACAGAAACACCAGAAAACGACAGAAAAAAACCACCTCAAACTCTCAACCAAAGGCTTTTAGCCAAGCCAAAAATACACTAGATATGTTCACTGTCCTCACTAAAAACTAAAAACTCTGGATTTTCCTCAGTTATTTCTGTGAGAGAACACTACATTGTTTGGAAAAGTAACTGTTCCACAGTTTCAGATAAAACCACCGCACTGCCCAAAGTCACGTGAGGCAGAGCTATGAACGCAACCTGACACAGCTGAGTCCCCTCTTACCCATTTTCCCATTGGAAGAGGCTACAGCAAAATGAAAAATTAGAAAGTTATCTAATAAACTGTACTGACTCTGACTCTGTTCCACTGTTCAGACCACAAAGGTAAATGAATTACAGCAAGATGTTAGAAAAAGGTTTTTCCCTGAGAGGGTGGTGAGTGCGGAACAGGCTCCTCAGGGCAGTGGGCACGGGCCCAAGCTGCCAGAGTTCAAAGACTGTTTGGACAACACTCACAGGCATAAGGTTTGAACTTTGGATGGTGCTGTGCAGAGCCAGGAGTCGGCCCCCTGTGGGTCCCTTTCAACTTAAGATACTCTATGATTCTAAGATGAATCTGATTCTTTATCTAAGTAAGGAAAAACCTTACCAAATATAAAAGGTCTGAGGCTGAGTCTTCATGGATGACCCGAAGCACAGCTGGCACCAGCTAGGGCTATGCTACGTTTAGATACAAACAAATTTTTAGTTCCCGGAGGCTGAAATTGAAAGGAAGAATTCCAGTGCCTAGACCTCCACTGGTATCTCACAAATAATTGCATAGGCCAGATGTAATAAATGTTATCAGCACTCCAGCCATGATAGTGCAAAGAAGAATAATGGTCGATCCCATCTTCCCCTTCCATAAGGAAATTGGAAAATGTCTATATCTCATACAAAGAGACAAAGCTCTGAAATTAGATGGCAATCTACATACAGATGGATTAAGTGTCTCATGAGCTGTCTTCTGAATTCTGAAGTGACAGTTTAGATTATTACCATGCATTGAAAAGGAGAAAAACACAATGCTTATTTTATTACTGTCTGTTCATTAGAATGATTGCTGATACCCCTTTAGAAATTACAGCAGCTGGAAAAACTTGAGACTCAGAGCAAAGTACAGGAGATGTGATCTAACACATCCAAGGAGAAAGGTCAAAACTTTTTAAGTACAAATGTTATTATTAGAGGAGTAAAGGCTATTGCTTTCAGAGATTCTTGATGTCAGTCTTCTCCCTGATGACTACAGGGAAATAACTATCAGAGAAATGTGCAGTGTTTAGAAGTCAGTTGTCATTTTAATTCAACTGAGCATCAAATAACACAAGAATGTTACACGAATAGTTTATTTTAACAGACTCTATTACACTGCATTTCTTGCTCTGAATGAGGTATTTGAGCAGTACAAATACAGACATGCAATTTTACTGCTAGCACCTAATCACAGCCATGAGAATACAAACACAATATATAAAACACCCGACCCTTCCTGATGGGTTGCTATTGTAACATCTTCCAATTTGGAGAAAACTACTATCTGATGACTGCTGCAGAACAGGGCTGCTCTGCAATGTGTCACTCACTGGTAAACCCCCAGTGCAGCTCTGGCTACTGGCTCTGGCTAATGCTGCCCATCTCCATGCAAGCAGAGCTGCAGAAGACAGATGGAGAAGCTAATGCTAGAAAAACAGATGAGAGTATGAGCCAAAATTCACTTCAGATGGAGAGATGAGGAGTTAAATAATGAAATAAAACTATAAGAATGCGTAAAGGGCATCTTTGCTCCAAATTCAGGGGAACATTTATCATGCAAATACAAAAACATTTCATTTCAGGCAGGAAATGGATGAAAGAAATTATTTGACACGAGAAAAGGCAATTGGAATCAAGTTTTTGCTATCAGATAACCGCTTCAGAGATATCAAAGACTGCAGTTTTCAGCTGAACTGCCTGTAATACAAATAAAATTCCAGCCACCTTTTCCACCAGCAGTGTGGTCAGCCTTCTGCCTGAAGACCAAAGGACTAAATGATCATGAATGATCTTACTAAAGCAAGCACTGGTACTCAACACTTCAACTTTGTGTCACGCTGTATATGTGTATCTACATAGAGAGATAGATTGGGAGATGTTTTAAGATCTTCACATTGACTAGAAGAAATTGTATTCAAGATCAAGTATTGACTTCGGAACCCAGGAACCATGGATAGGTGCTGTGCTCTAGTACAAATGACGTTCAGAAGTCTTCCAGAAAAGAAACTTGGTTATGGACAAATTTAGCTCCGAATATTACAAAGCCACATTTTATCAGAACAAAAAGCACAGCCCACATTACTCCTATGCCAAAATTGTACAAAAATTGTATAAATTTGTATAATTGTATATATATATAAAATTTGTATAATATAAATTGTATAAAATAAATATATATAAATACAGACATAGTGCATACATATATATATAAATTTGTATGTATATATATGTGAGTCTACTAAATAGATACACTTGAGGTATTTGCGTGCCATTTGTATATAACATATACATCATGCAAAAAATAAAGACAAAGCTAGGAGACCTTCAGTCTGATTTACAGGCATTCAGTCTCATGGATAAAAAAAATGCATGCATTAACTATTGATTGTGCATTAATTATTAACCGTTATTAACAATTCTCATTTCACTTAGCTGCTTCCTACCTCATTGGGACAGCATGCACAAAAATTCCTCAGTGTGACATGGGAAGAAACCCTGAAGACACGTGGAATGCAGGAGAAATGTAACATGATTGCTAAATATAATTAACTGCCTTGAATTTGAGAAAGGTTTTAGGTGTTTTTTCTGTTTTCTCCTGCTCTTACAGTCAGTGATACTGACAGACTTGTTCTTTATGTATACGAAACAGAGAAAAAGGAGTAAAATGTGTGAACTCCTTTCTACAGGCTGTGCCAATGTATCTTTACTTTAGATTCAGAAAAATTGATTCTTCTGCTTCATTCAGTTCTTGGCAATTGAAACCACAATTTAGTGATCTCTCTGCTAGCAGTGGAAGTGAACCAAGATCAACAGTTCATCTTACAGGAGCCACCACACTGTAGTTACATTGTAATATTTTCAATTAATACATAAATTCATTAAAATATTTTAGAAGTAATAGGCCGTTTACCATTATACATTTCAAATTTAATCACTTGTCCCTATCTTCTACTTACACACGAATATCCCATGATGTTTGACATGAAAAAGCCCAGAGAGGTGTCACTATAAAGGCCCACAAAGATTAAAGGACACTTCATGTTGCCACACCATTCAAAACATATACTTTTGAAAAATTATTTGGATGACATAAAATGAATGAGAAAAGTGAAAAGTGTCTCAAATAAATAATCCACTAAGAGCTTTTAGAGATGTCCCTTTCTGGTTTCTGTTACCACCTACTATTTCTGTCAACACGTGCAGTCAGTTTGTCATGTGAATCTATATAGGATGCAGAAACACCACTGTCAAAAATTCCTTACTGCAGAATTTTGCTCTCTTGCAGTTCCTGCCTTTAATATTATGTAAGTGAATTACTTCTGTAACATGTCACTGAAAAAAAAAAAAAGTCTAAACTTAGAACTATTCATATGCAACATCGTTCTTAAATGGCAAACATTTCAACCAGTTTCTTCTTCTGTCTGCTGATTTTTCTGGAAATGGACTTTCATATAATCTAGCACAGTGTTTTCTCCCTCTAACCACATCAGTATTTTCTCACCTCTCTTCTTCTCAAGGGATACAAATCAAGAAATTTCCAATCTCCTTAAGTTTTAGCCACAAGAATTTCAGAGCAGTTTAAAAGTCAACACTGCAACCAATACAATTAAGTTCTCATGTGTTCACAGGTGAATAGCCAACAAAGCCCGACTCAAGGCTTGTAAGGGGGCTTCCAAGGGAAAATGTAATGCTCTGAAACCACAGAGTAACCTGCCATCACTCCCCTACCCTCATGAGGTCCCTCCTGGCCATTATTTAACTCAAAACAGGAGGGAGGCAAGACTAATTACCAATAGAGATGCTGCAATTACTAGATGCAGCTCTTCAAGCTTTCTGGTTTCTTAAGCTGGGGAAGAGGTGTTAAATTCAACAAGGCAAATCATGGAATGGCTTGGGTTTAAAGGGATCTTAAAAATCATCCAATTCCCATGATGAGTGCAGAGTTCCCATCCAGTAGCTCAGGCTGCCCCATCCAGCCTGACCATGAATGCCTCCAGGGACGGGGCATCCACAACCTCTCGGCAGCCTGTGTCAGTGCCTCACCATCTTCTGAGTGATTTTTTTTTCCTAAAAGCTGCCTGAGATGTGAGAGGTACAATACAGGACTTCACTTTCACTACAAACTTTTTTTTTCCATTCTCAGAAAAATACTAGCATCCCCAGTTGGTAAGTACAGACTTCAGGCATTTCTAAATAACAGCACATTTGACAGTTACAAAACCTGTCAAAAATAGCAGGTCTAGTAGGACTCCTTATCTGTTACACCAAATTTAAGCTCCTTGAAATCCTTGTGTCAAACAATAGTAATACTGTTGTAAATTCCCCTTCTGCTAGCTAAGCATAAATTTGAGCAGGGAGAGGGAGACACAAAGCATGAATCAAACCTATAGCATAGCTAGGTCCTTGAGTACCTTCTCCTTATCACTCTTAGTTTTCTGACAAATGCCTTAAATGTTGCTGCCTTAAAAGTTAGCAGGTGGGAGTTCTCTGCTAAGAAAGAGGTGAAAATATTTCATAACCAGCCACATTAGTTTCAATAAGAATAAAATCCTCTAGTAATTTCATTTTTGTTAATAGAAATTTATAGATATATAACAATGTACTTATCTATAAACATTTACACACCCAATTTCCCTTTCTTATACATATATATATAAAATATATAAAATATCTAAATAAAATATATACAAAGACATCACAATCAACATTTAAATAACAATTCTAACATAGAAATTCAGAAACTTTCTGCCGCCTTACCATAAAGAGCTTTTGCACTTGTTCTGGAATTCTGCTCCCTCTCTGCCTGAGCAAATGTTGGTGAGCCATAGCCACTAGAAGGAAAAATTTCAGGTTAACTTCTGTATGAATGTAATTTCTACAAAAACACAGAGTAAAACTTTCCCACTGCGTAGGGCTATACGTACCTACAATGTTTGCAACAAAGGAGATGCTACTGGATACTGGTTCTGCAACATAAGGAAGCATGCTTCACTTGGGCTGGAAGCCCTCCTGTGCTATTTCTTGTTAGCATCACGCACAGTGGGGGCTGTGAGACATCTAAATACTACCATAATGTAAGTAACACTGATTACTATCAAGTAAGAATAATGCCAAAGACTTGATAGCATTTTGCCTTTTGCTTATGTACACAAGTGTTGTTCTTAACAGTTTCAAGTGCTTTTCATAAAAGAAACAAAAGGAATATAATTGTCTACAACACATGGAAAGACAATCCAACATTCTTCTAGCATAACAACAATAATGAGTCTTGTACAAACTTTTGCATTAGATTAGGGCAATTCTCATTAATGGTGTGAATGAGCCTAGTACCACACTTCTGACATAGGTAACATCTTCCTATCTCAGAAAAGGCAACACTTTCAAGGAAAGCAATGGTTGCTCAGTTCTGTTTTCTGGGAAATGATATTTTCTCACAGATGGAAAGGGCAGCCTCCTTCTTGAGGCACAAGAATACTTTCACTCACAGCTAGCCTTAAACATCTCAGTCAGATGAAGACATCTCTGTGTCATGTCATAATTAGATTGTGGCTACAGCAATTTATTTTTCTGTGCCAGATGACATCACCCAGTAATATAGCTTTAGTGTTCCACTAATACAAAAATCAGTCAGATGATATCTATTAGTTTGGTCCCACAGTTTGGAAGCTGCATGCTCTTTTAGAGAAACTGCATTTGAGCTCTAATAATCATAGCTCCACTCAAAATGAAAGCATAAGGAAAAAATACAAACTATTTTTCTGTCCATAGAAGGAAAATCAAAGGCATAAACTTACTTGATTTGAGGAGAATAACTTCCATAACCACCAGGAGGGGTATTTGATATATGGCCATTCATTCTTATCGTCACTTACTGAGGGAAATGATCTGCAAAAGAAACAGCAGTAAATGAATTGAAGTCTCTAAAGAGATGAAGGTTTAATACAGATGTAATCCAAACCTAATGAGAAAATTATGGTTGAAATGTGGAACCAATTGCATCAACAAACTCAATTGTTATTATTTTTATTGCACTGAAGCCTTAAAGACCTATTACGGAACTTCTCCCCCAGTTGTAATTTGATAACTTTTTCTTCAAATAATTTGGTAAATTAAGCCATTACAGCAGTCTCTAGGAATAACTTTTCAAATAAAAGGCTGACTAAACAGAGAACAACATCTGCTTCAGAAGTGAACAAGATGTTCCAAATGGTAACTTTAATAATCAAGCATGCTTGACTTTCATCCACAATTCACTTATCTGAATACAACTTTTGAAATGATATTTTGATGCTTATTACATCTATAAAATGTATCAGATGGATTGTTAGAAAGATGCATTATCAAAGCAAAACACAATTGTTAACATAGAAGGAAACTTGGTTAGCTATTCTGGGACTGAAATAAACCCTTTCCTTTCTTTTTTTTTTTCCTTAAGTAGCACATAATTTCCTGAAAGGTTAGCATGCCAAAAGAAAACTCTCATGTAACAGTAATTCTGAAAAAGCTATGATGGAACAGTTGGAGGAACACTTTCTTGCTTAAATGTCATGCCCATTGAAGTCAAAATTGACTCAGGAAAGCGATTTTCATATTACAGTGAACAAGTAATTATTCAAATTCATAATGGGAAAATATACTTTCAGATACGTGTGTACATGTCTGTATACATATACGATCACAGAATGGCTTGAGTAGGAAGGAACCTTAAGGATCATCAAGTTCCAATCCTCTTGCCACAAACAGGTCTGTCAACAGCTAGATCAAATACTAGATCAGACTGCTTAGGGCCCAATCCAACCTGGCCTTAAAAACCTCCAGGGATGGGACATCCACAACCTCTCTGGGCAGTCTGTTCCAGCACCTCACCATTCTCTCAGTAAAAAAGCCTTCCACCTGACATCTAATCTAAATCTCCCTTTCTTTAGTTTTAGACCATTTCCCCTTGTCCTATCACTTTCTATCCATGTAGAAGTTGATTTCCCTAATTTTTAAAAAGTCCCTTTAAATACTGGAAGGCCACAATGAGCTTTCCCCACAGCCTTCTCTTCTCTAGGCTGAACAAGCCCACTTCCTTCAGCATGTCTTCATAGGAGAGGTGTGCTAGCCCTCGCACCACCTTCATAGCTCTACTCAGGGTCCTCTCCAAAAGCTCCAAATCTTTCCTGAGTTGGGATCCCTGGACTTAGATGCACTACTCCAGCTGGGTCCTCATTAATGCAGAATAGAGAGGTACAATCCCCTCACTCTTCCTGCTGGCCTCCCTCCTCTTCTGATGGAACCCAGGATACTGCTGGCCCTCTGGGCTGCAAGCACACATTGCTGGCTCATGTTAAGTTTCTCATCTACCAGAACCTCTAAGTCCTTTTCAGCAGGGCTCCTCTCAAGGAGTTCTTCTCCCAGACTGTATACACATCTGGCATTAACTCAACCCAAGTGCAAGATCTTGCACTTGGCTTTGTTAAACCTCATTAGGTTCACATAGGCCTATCTTCAGAGTTTATCAAGGTCCCTCGGGAGGACATAATTCAGAGTCATGAATAGAATTTTAACTCTGCAAAACAGTCTAAAGTATGTCAGATGAAGCATGTATCCGAAAGACACTTCATTTCCAAATGTGAGCACAACCTGCTTTGTTGTACTAAAGCCATTTTACAATCAGCTTATGTTCTGAATCACTGTCAGCCTACTGCCTTACTGTAACAGTTTTCTTCTTGGATTACAAAGAATCAGCAGCCAACTGACCTATAATGCATACTATATTTTGTACCTATGTGCTCTGCTGCTTTCCTCTTTCATGCAGAAATACAAATCCAAATCAAATTCTGTTCCCAGCTCAAAGACTTCTGTGATTTCAAGAGACTTAGGAAGCTTCTTTGGTCTTCTGCACTCAGCACAGAATCATTTCTATATCTTTCTCACCTGACATCCTCTACTTGAGATGCAGATAGGAAAGGTAGCCAGAACTGAGCCATACTAATGGAGTGCCAAATGTTGTCACGGGGAAGTGTGGTACTTCCTCTGTAATGAGCATACACTTTGCTCTTTAGCTTAGAATCCCTCTCCTCCCCCTTCACCTCTACCTTTAAACTTCTGATTGCTTTTTGTAAAACATTTTTGTTGACAGTTAGACAGCTTGCTTTCATTTCTTCTGTGAGTTAACAAGAACGTATCACATAACCAACATGATGGTGTGCTTGGCTGATCCAAGCTACTGTTCATAGAATGCATTACTTACTAGCTGTTTAGAATAAAACACTCTCCATGCTGAGTACTGTCCACTTTATTAGCAATTATAACATTTTGGAAGCATCTTGGATTTGTCCCACGATTTAAAAGAATATAAATACTGATTTTTTCAGCAGGATGTTCCAAGGCATTGTGCACTCCTTGTTCCATTTCACAAAATACAAAGGCCAGAGCTCTTTGGATTGCTGTTGTTTAAGTCATGCTGCCATTAAACTCTTTAATACTACATGTTGGCTATTAATTCTTATCATCTGCAAAAAATTTTCAACTTTAATACACTGTTCAACAATTTACACTTGGATTACCTTCCTAAGAGTGATCAAGTCCTAAATCTTACACAAATTACATCCGTTTCTTTTCAGTATCTCCAATTTCACATACTTTCCACATATACTTTTATTAAGATAACTCTTACTACATAGTCTAGACCACTTTATAAGCTGTAATTTTTCCAACCACAAATTTTGCAACTACTCATCTTAAAGTGATATCTGGAAAAAAAAACCACTACTTTTTTAGACTCAGAATGACTTTGTTCCTCAGACAAACTAATTTTTCTTAATCTGCAACACACTAAGTTTGCTAGTTGTACTCCACTTTAGGATAGTAGTGAAACTTTATAAGTAGAAGAAATGTAATAACAGAACTCGAAGTTTCAGTCTGTGAAATTAGCATAACACACTACAAGTTTTAAAGCAACAATGAACTGGAAAAACAGATTTTTCACATTAGAAGAAAACATATCTTGACTAAATACTTGTCAAAATAAGGTGTACCACCACTCAGCACTGATGAATAAAAGCTTTAAAACTGCATCTGGGATCAAGTGATACTGAAAAACTGAAGTTAGGAATTGTGTCTTTCTCAAAAAACAAAACAAGAAACAAAAAAAAAACCAAAAAACAAATAAAATAACAATGTTGTGCTAAGTACGCTAACTAAGCACAAAAGCTTTATGCAGTTTCAGCTGATTTGCAAACAAAATGACACATGCTTTTTGATTTGTGTAAAGCCAACAATATTTCCCATATCCCAGTAAAAGAAATTAAACACTTATGAAATGTCAAGGCTACTACTCTGGCAGTACAATACCTCAGTCTTTATTTCCCATAATTTTGTTCAGGAAAGCTTCTGAATGAATAAAATTTAACTCTTTACAGACCTTATTTTAGGAAATCAGAACTAATTAAAATTACCAGGCTATTTTATCTCCTTCAGCCTAAATATTTCTGTTAGGAAAACACACCAAAGTTTTATTAAGTGTTTCACTGAGACAGAAGACAAAACCATAAAAGCATAACAGAATGCGCAGTGATTTGCTTACTGTGCACTTGCATGGCTTTCTTTGCTGTGTTTTTCATCCCAAATTGTCTTTCAACTGTTACAACCCCACAGTCCCACAGCAAAAGTTCCACTAGCACACACCACTAAGCTTTCGTCATCCAGGAGTCTATTAATAAACTCTGCTTCCTCCTTATTCTTCCCTTTCACCTCAGCCCAGCAGTTCACAGTAACATACGCCAATGCTGCAAACTTTAAGATAAACATCCTTCGTAATTAACTGTAGAAATCCTCTTTAAGTTGACCTGAAGTATCAACAGTTTACTTGTTAGTGTATCCAAGCATGGCCGTGCCTTTCTCAGACTCTTGAAAAGAAAATAAGGCCTGCTCTGAACTGTAAATATTTTGAAACAAGAAAACTAAAGAAGAATGGAAAAAGAGAGTAACCATGAAACCAATAAAAATAACGAGATACAGAGTTACATGTTACAATATTTATATAAAAGTATATTATAATGATATAAAAATCAATGTCATAAGAAAATAGGAAATTCCTTCATACAAAACAAAAACAAAAGAATACTAAATACTTTTATTCCAGGATCTGCGACTGAAGGAAAAGAATCCACCCAGAACTTTACTGCCACCATAAGCTTTACTCTTGGCAGGATTCATGTATATTGTTAGTATGCAGGAACATAAATGACAAAAGGTCCGGCTTTTGTAACTGATAAATCATTTCGGACAATGATGTACTTTAGTTCTTCAGTTAAGAGTTACAGGTGGTCTGTTGCCAGGTATAGGCAGTACTGCACTGCTATAGGAGATGATTTCATAAATATTCATAAGAAATATGCACAAATACTAAAATACTCCTTGCCTTCTCCACCTTACAGCACAGCATGCTAGTGAAGGCAATAGAATTTGTGTGCAAGAGCAAGCTGACACATAGGCGACTCACACGTTCTGCCATTAAATTTCCAGAGAGGAGTTGGAAGGTAAGAAAATTGCTCAATTTATTTTAAAAGCACCTTCTCTAGAAGGGCAGAACTATTTAATTACAAAAAAAATGAGATATAGGAGACGCTGGTGCTCTTTTCCACTCATCCTCAATCAATCAGTCCTACCTAGCAGTGGATCACAACATCAAAAGGGAAAAAAAAAAGAAGCAGTTCAAAGGCGCAGGGCTTTTAGAAACGATGCAAAGAGCAGGGAGGGTTAAGGAGAGGAGGATGCATGGGAAGGAAGAGGAAAGCCAAGAATGGCTGAAAGAGTAATTATCTACCAAGTAAGAAAATGTTATTAGTAACAAGTCATTGTTATTGCAGGCCCTCAAAAAAAACAGAATTCTTCCTCAG